GGGAATGGGGGCGGGGGAGCTATAGTCTTCTTCCCTTTGCCTTAAATCTCAGCCTGCAGACAGGCCTCTTGCAGTGCACCCCAGCAAAGCAGGGGAGTTGGGAACACCCTGCATCCAGTAGGTACAAGAGCTGGTGTAGCAAGCTTCCCTTTATGTCTCATCCCCTCCCTCTTGGTTCTTCCCCATTAAAGATAATTGGAATTATAACTGTAATAATAAGAGCTAACATTTATGGAGCTTTCCACCCCATCACTGTGCTAAAGCACTCTACGTGGCCAATCTCATTTGCTCCTCACAGCAGCCATAGGAGCTAGGTGTTATTTTTATCTCCATTGAGCAGATAAGAAAGCCAAGGATTCTCCCCACAGTAAGGATGGACAGAAGATTATTAAGCTACAACTGAAAACAGAAGAGGAGGATGAGCAGCGATGAGGGGGACTCCCAGAAATACTCCGTCTCCCCCTGCCCCTGCTTTTTCCCTGAGTTTCTTTCCTTCTACTTCTAGAAGAAAAGATGTTAGAAGAAAAAGAAACAAAAATAAAGTGAAAATAAAGAAAAGGGATATGAGGCACATTTTTGCTGCGTGGAGAATGATGCATCCAGTACATGAGTGGCAGGGGAAGGTCCAGCTAATGTGGAAGAAAGGAAGGTACAGCTCAACAACCTTCCTAGGGCCTCCAAAGTCCAGAGTCTAAATCCCTTTGCCCAGCCTCTCAACCTGGAACAGTTGGCTTATACGCTCCCCAAAGCCCACTGGCCTCACACCAGGCAGGGACACCATTCATTTACCTGCATGGAGCAGGTTAACTCCTCCCCCAGCTCAGCCCTCTCCCCCAACACCATCTCCCAAGCTGACAGTTCTTCCAAGCTGCCTGGGCCTCACTCCGACCTCCCTCCTGGGGCAAAGGTCCCAATCTACAGCACTGCAGCAGCTCAATGCAGCTCCCCAACCCAGGCCTGACTCCTCAGCACCCACACCTCCAGTGTGCCCTGCTCCAGATTTCAGATCACCCCAAGTAGCACTTCCCCAAGATGAACACCACCATCACCTGTCACTAGGCAATCCCCTCCAGCACAAAGACCCAGGCTCTTGCTACAAAGTTCTGCTCATAACCTTAAAGGAAACTCTCAGTCCTCCCTTCCACCACCACCACCCCTGCCCTGGCACATCACAGTAATCATCATAGCTATCCAACAGCTAATCAATCTCCAGTTATTGAGGGCATAAAAAGTCCCGGGATGGATGAATACAAGCATAAGCCGGGGCAGTTATCATCAGCATACTCGAGATTTCTGCAGCACACAGAACCATCCCACTGGTCCTCTGCGCCATGGCCCTCTCAGTCTCCACACTCTAGCAGGACAGACGCAGCTGACCTGGCTCCTGCCCTGAGCCCCATGGAAGCCTCTCTGCTCTGCCCCTGTACTCATGGGGCTGTACCTGTGCTCAGGTTGCCAGTCTGACCACTCCCTTCCAGACCTAGACTGACAGATCCATTGACTTCTGGGAACCTAAGCTACTCCCTGCTTGGACTTTGCCAACAGACCCCTCTGGGCTGCCGCTAGGGACACCCCGAGCTGTTCATGTTGGGGGAGTGCCCCAAGGGGCGCTCACCTTACTCTCCAGGTGCTCTCAGAGGCTGCTAACTCCTCCAGGAGTAGTGGTTCCTTCTCTGAGAAGACAGAAATCAGACAGAAGAGTGCAGGTAGGTGGGGAATCCAGGTAGGAGTGGCGGGTACTTCCGGGCAGAGGCCTGCCTCCCAGCCACCCCACACAAGGGAAGAAGAATCTGTCCCTGTCTGTTGGCAAAGTCCAACCAGGGAGTAGCCCAGGGTCCCACAAGTCAATAGACCTGTCAGTCTAGGTCTGGAAGGAGTGGTCAGACTGGCAACCTGAGCACAGGTGCAGCCCAGTGAGTACAGGGGACCCTCTCCCCACAGTGCCCTCTGCTGGTGAGCGGCCGTCCCCAGTCACAGGCTGTTGAAATGGCAAAAGGTAAAAAGGAACCATAACCAGAGCTTCTTAAACTATAATGTGCACACGAATCACCTGAGAGATCTGTTAAAATTGGGGTTCTTATTCTCTCAGCCTGGGATGGAGCATGTCTCAGAAAACCCCAGGGACTACTGCCAATGCAGCAGGTCCAGGGAACATCCTGTTCCCTGCCCACCACCCCCTCACCCTGTCCCCTCACTTCTTCCCCAGAGATGACAGGAGACTCTGAGAGGGTTAAGGACTCACAGGTTGCTGGTGAATCCAAATCTGCTCCCTAACAAGTGCTCTTTCCACCACCCACGCTCAGAGTTGGCAGAGAGAACTGCCCCTTGGGGAAGAGCTAAACTTGGAGCTGTTTGCCAGTCTGGGTCCGTTAGGAGCTCTGGCACCCTGGAATGGAAGTTCCCTATCCAGAGGGGACTATTTCTCAGGCTATTTGCTTCTATATCCTCAGCTCCTGGTATAGTCTGAAACAGAGCAGGTGTCCAGTAAAGCTTCATTGAATGAATGAATGTCAGCTGAGAGAAATGGATTTAGGATCCAGACAGCCACTGCTGAACCCAAGTGACCTCTCTGTCAGCTCTGTAATCTTAGGCAAGCTGCTTGACCCCTCTGCACAGCCCTCATCTTGTCTGTCACATACAGTCACTATTACCTTGTGAGGGACTGTCATCATCATTCTCTAAATGCAATATTTGGGTGGTGAGGGCTGTTGTCCCCACGGTCTGGCCTCTGGCAGCTCAGCCCCCCAGATATCAACTCCCATAGAAAAGAAGTAGCCTGGGCTCTCCCCAATGGCACAGGGGAGGAAGGCACAGCATTGCAAGCTGGCCGCAGCCGCTTCAGTGCAAGTTCTATCCCCAGCCCCAGAAGTGACTCACAAGGCGCAACAGATCTCTGCTGACCCTCCTGCTGCTCCCCTCAGCAGTGTACTTCATTGATCTGCCTGTTCTGCTCCCCACTCTGTCTCTGGTGAAGCCTTTCACCATCCCTGCACCTCTGGCTTGTACCCCAGTTCTGTATGAATAAATAAATAAATCTTCAAAAAAAAAAAAAAAGCCACCATACTTTCATCTCAGTTAACAATTCTCTATAGCCTCTTGTCTCTAATGCAACCCGCTTCCCTCGGCTGCCTTCCCTGGGTGAAGGCAAGGAGACAGGATAAACACCCTTGGGGGATCCCAGGTCCCCAGAGTAGGGGCATGTGGCAAAGGACTGGCTAGAAAGCAGCCAGCCTGGGAAGGAGACCTTGTATCTATAGGACGAGTAAGGGAAGGGTGCTCGAAACTCCAACAAAGGGAGGCAGTGTCTGTCCTTATTGGACTAAGCTCTGTATGAGTCATGCCAAAGGCGGTTTTGTCCCCTGGTTCACCAAGTTCTAGGGTTTGTGCAAGATCTGTCTAGCTCAAGTTCCAAACAAGGAAAAGCCCTGCCAGCCAGCAGGCTATAACCAGGGGCTGTGCTCATGGATCAAGAACTCATTCCCAAAGCTGGTTCCAGTTTCACTAGGGACAAACCCAGTTACAGAAAAGCGCTGCCCACCACCCCCTGGAGCACCAAGCTGATGCACAGGTGCGTAGATCACAGACATCCGTAGCACAGCAGCCTGGGGCTGAGCTGTTTCAGGAGGTCTGGGTCTCACGGTGCTGAAGTCTCAACCCCCATCAACAGCCCACCCCCGAGGCCAGGTCTAGCAGAATAGGAAGGCCCCGCTGAGAGGAACCCTTTGGACCATGCAGGCAGCAACCTGGACTTCCCAGCCAATGCCACCAGCCATGTCATTGGAGAGACACAGGCCAAACCTGCTCCGCCCTTCTCCCGTCCCCCTCCCGCGCCTGCCTTCCACCCATCGTATCTCTCCAGCACCCAGCCTGGGCGGCCTGCTGCCTGAGGTAAGGGGAGCACAGGCCTGGGATGGGAGGCGCTGGGATGGCTGGGAACAGGGAAAGGAGGACAGGGGCAGGGAGAGAAGACGGGATCTCCAAGATAGATTTTTTAAAAATAGAGAACAAAGAAACTGAGGTAGGAAGGGCAGGCAGAGATGAACAAATGAACAGAGAGGGATAAAGGAAGCTGAGTGGAAGGATGTGCAGGTTGGTCAGCACTGTCCCAGGAACTTCCAGGACTTTGACAGGAAAGATGGAGCTGGGATCACTCCAGGACACTGAGAATAGCCTCGCTTTCCTCTTCAGTCCTGTCAGTCCTGGGGAGGAGGCTGAGATAGGCACAAATGGAAGGAATGACACTGGGTGGAGGTCTTGCTTGGAAGAGGGTCTGTACATCATCCCATATGCAAATGACATGGAAAGCAACATGCAAATGAGCATATCCCCTTTTTACTCAAAGACCAGTCATTTCTTTGAGAAGTCTGGGTGCTTGTGTAAGCCACCCCAACCTTCCAGGAAGAACTCTCCCCTGATGGGTAGAAGGGAACTAAAGGGTCAGATAAAGGGGCCCAGCTGACTTTAATTTGGCAGGAGCTCCCTGTGGGTGGGCCTCTAGAATTTGCCAGTCTGGATTACTGAGATAACCCAGAGTGAGGGGATGGCCTGTTCTTCACTAGAAATGATCCACAGGATGGCCTGCTCCTGCCTGTAGAAAGCGGTTCTGCCAGGCTAGTTGTGTCCAGGTAGCTGAGTTTAGTTGGTGACACTTCCTCTCCGAGGGCCTGCTGTGTAACTGGCCACATGCCACCCACTGCAATTATCACCACTGGCCAGGGTCCTCCCAGTGCCAAAGGAGCAATAGATAAGTCCATGGAAGCCAGAAAAGGGGCAAGCAGTGTGAAGCATATAGGAGTGGACCAGTGCTGGCCTGGGAGGGGGGGGCGGGGAGGGGCTGGCCTCTATGACTAGTTCTCCTAGGACAGGCTCGGGCCAGGTCAAAGGCTCATGTAGGTGGTGGAGTGGATGGGGAGACATGGGGGCAGAACCAAGAAAAAGGTTCACCTGTAGCATGTCTCTGCCTTCCCAGAGTTTGCCTCCTCGAGGAGGATGTGGCCTCAAGGGGCCATCTTCGTGGCCTTTCCCCACCTGGGCCCCATCCTGGTCTGGCTGCTCGCAGGCCATCAGATGGCTGGTTGGTGTGATGAACCGAGGAAGCTGCCCTGGTGCCCACTCCACAAAGTCTTCTTGCTAGTGTGGACCACCATCTACTCTGTCATGGGGTGAGCACCCTTTTCTCACATCACCCTGGTCCCTGCTGGAGCAGCAACTTCTGCAAATGCTGACCTCCACAGGGAAGGCGCCCCAACTTGTCTTTCACAGCAGGCCCTCAGTACCTGCCCAGGCACACCCCTCTTCTTCCAGAGTCCCCCAGCTGCTACCCTACCTCACCATGCCCGACAGCTCCCACCCCAACCCCTGGCCTTCAGGCCTAGACCGATTTGCCCCCTTTCTGCCCACAGGGCTCCCACTTCACAACCAAGAGTCCTCATGCCAGAGGCCTCCTCCATTTGGCATAAACGCCATCCCTCTCACTGTTCTGAATGATCTCTCCACAGCTATGCCTCCTACCTGGTGTGGAAGGACCTGGGAGGGGGCTTTGGGCGGCCCCTGGCCCTGCCTCTCGGCCTCTATGCATTGCAGCTCACCATCAGCTGGACTGTGCTGGTTCTCTTTTTCGCAGCCCACACCCCTGGTCTGGTAAGGCACGTGGCACTTGGTAGTGGAGGTAATGGAGGGCAAGGTGAGACCACCAGGTGCCAAGAAGCAGATAGCACAGCACATCAGTCAGGTGCAGGCAGGTAACGGGGGGCTGATGGCTCTGAGCCTGGTGGTGTGTGCAGAGCATGGGAATGTGGCTCTCTGGGTCCAGGGTGCTGCAGAAGGATCAAGGACTACTCCCAGGGCAGCCTGCCTGACCCACCTGCCCCCGCCCAGGCCCTGCTACTCCTGCTGCTGCTCTACGGGCTGGTGGTGAGTTTGGCGCTGATCTGGCACCCCGTCAACAAGCTGGCTGCCCTGCTCCTGCTGCCCTACCTGGCCTGGCTCACCGTGACCGCTTCAATCGCCTATCACCTGTGGAGGGACAGCGTTTGTCCAGAGCACCAAGCTCAGCCCATGGGGGAGAAGAGCAACTGAGGCCAGGAGCATGGTACGGGGGGAGGGAGACCAGAGTAGGGGTGAGAGACAGCAGGCAGGGCTCTGGGGCTCTCGCGGAAGGGTAGGGAGAAAGGGAGAAGGGGTAAGGGGGCTGACCAGGGATGGAGGAGTCACCCTGAAGGTGGCTCATCCCTCTGTGGTGTCTGTCTTCGTCCCCTGGGTCCCGCGTTCATTAGAATTCAGAGAACTGGGGAAAGCGGAAGAATTTTATTTTATACTTAATGTAAATGAGTGACTGTTACATTAATAAACATTATGTAGTAATATAAATTAATGAAATCCTCCTACCATCTCTGAGGGCTGTCTAAGGCTGCAGAGTGGGAGAAGTGACCATGCAGGTGAGTGTGAAGGCGTGTGTGAAAGACCCCAAAAGGGAGGACTCAGTTTTTCATGGCCTGATGAACACATTCTTTTTGAAAAGTTACAGAAAAGCAAAATAGAAAAGTAGGTAACGTAAAAAAGGGTTAGTGATTAAGCTTGCCAAGTTTACACATTGTCCATTCCTAGTTTTATATTAGATATGTGCGATAGATCACATGTGGTAGCTCATACTTTCCATAAATGGGGATATAACAAGGCTATAATTGCATCTATTTAAATACTATATTATGTTAGCTATGGTAATAACTCTATCATAAAATATAATATGGTTATCTGATATAGATCATACCAAGACCCCATGGGATAAGTAAAATTCTCTCTGATCTAAAATTATAGATCATTTTTTATTTTTGCTATCATGTGCTCTTATACGATTGATTTTTTTACATCAATTAATTATTATTATTACAATTATTATTACAAGATAAAATTTTTTTTAAAAAAGAGGGAGCTGGGGCAATGCTGATGGCTGAATTCAGTAGAAGGCTCTTGTCCAAACTTCTCTTTTACTAAACCTTCTCCTAGCTGTTTTACTGTCATTTCTTCCTTTGATTTTTTTCCCCTTGACTTGAGGCTGCAAGGAGTGGCTGCCTCTGGGGCTGCCGCCTCCAGTCCTGACAAGTCAGGGGAAGCCCAGCACCCTGAGAAGGGGGTCTCCACCTGCCAGAGGAGGTGTCACGGGGCGGGGGGGGTCATCTAGACGGCAGTCTCTAAGGCCCCCATGTCGTCCCACCGTAGAGCCCACCATAGAGCCCACCGAAGACCCTGCTGAGTGTGCACAAAAACCACTGGGCAGCTTGTTTGTAAACATATATTCCAAGACCTATGAATCAGAATTTTGGGGCAGATTTAGATTTAAAAGGATCCCAGCACTTTACCAGCTTCTTGCTAAAATTTGAAAGCATGAGTCAGGCCTCACTTCTCAGAGGCCCCTTTTGTTTTGAAAATGTGTGGTTCTGTGAGCTGGGTTCTAGGGTTGGAAAAATTCTATCCTCTGAGGTGGGGATCAAAGGACTTCAGAGGGAGAGAAGCCAGGATGCCATCATTTGTGCAATCTGACTAAGAGCAAGAGATAGGGAATCTGCATCCTGCCCCCTCACTGTGAGCATGTCCCACCGCCAGGCCAGGCAGGTAGGTCACCTGCGCCTGGAGACACACTGAGCCCCACCCACCTCTGTGTCTCCAGCTCCAGGGCAGTGCAGGGCAGGGTAGAGTGTTCTTTTGTCTGTGTTCCATTGATTTGATTCATTCGTTGACTCAGTGAATAAATTAACAATTTCCCCCTTAAAGTACTGACCAGCACCTGTCTCCAAATCTGTACCAAAGGCATTAGTAGTTCTGGAAACTACTCAACTGGTTCTCATGTGCAGCCAGATCAAGAAGAGCCACCACAGACAGTGCTTCTCAGAGTGGCTTCCTGGGACATATGTTGAAGTCCTGTACCCCACCACCCTCCAGACCCACAAAATCAGATAGCCTTGGGAATGCAGTGATTTGGGATGCAGTGATTTGTAATCTGGTACCAGAGACCAACCAATCTGGCCTTGACACTGACTTTCATTAACTAATAAGCCAGTGCAATGTGCTTTGCAGTCTGAGCTTTATTTTCCTCACCCATGAAATGGGAACCTCATAGAATTCTTGGGAAGAGTCAGTGAGATAATGTTGACAGTTGTCCTACAGATGAAGTGCTCAACAGATATTAGCTAGTCTAGGAGGGATCCCCAGGAGACCACCTGTTTAATAAGAACACCTGGTTCTGATGCATCCTACAATCAAAGACCCCTCTGCTCCAAGACTCAGGAAGCATTCCCCAAACTTCGGAAGAGCCAGGCCAGTGAGTGTCATGTTCTCAAATCTGGGCTGGGGCTCACTGCCCCACGCACACAGAATGACTGACTTCATCCTTCACATGCATATGGACTTTGTCTTCATTTGCATTAAATTTTTAAAAAGTGCTTTTATAGCTCCATGTTTTAATATTTTCAATGTCTGAACTTAAGCAGGCATATTGGTTGAGTGAGAATGGATTCAGGAGCCACTCTGCCCGGGCTTTCATCCTGAATCACCATGGGACCTTAGATAAGCCAGCACCCAGAAAGATTGGTCATTATTGTTATCATTATCTCATGTGGGCATTATAAATATATGCTACCGTCCCGCCCTGCTGGCGCAGTGGGTTAAAGCACTGCACTAAGAAGCTAAAGCCACTTCAGCATGAGTTCAAGCCTCGCCCCGGAGGTGACCCACATGGTGCAGCAGACCTCTCCTGGCCCGCTGTCCCCCTCTGCAGTATATTTCAGTACATCTGCCTGTTCTGCTCTCCACTCTGTGTCTGGTGAATTCTCTCAGCCCCCTGCACCTCTGTCCTGTACTGTGTGCATAAATAAATAAATCTTTTAAAAATACACATGTGCTGCCAATGTTACTGCTACTAGCTCAGGATAGAAGTTAAACTGATCCTCTGAGAAGATGCGCCAAGCCCATTGTGTGATCTCAACCTCCCCTGGGCAACAGATGCCTGGAATCCAGGCTCTGGCAGCCTATGGTTGTTTTAGTCCCTTGGCCCTAGAAGGACTCCTGGTTTTGTTAGTGTCCTAACTCCTGCACTGGCATGACTGCCTGACAGTCAAAGGAAAGGGCTTCCTGACTTTGGACAGGAAAAAGCAGCTGAAAAGGGCAGTGCCTCCCCCGCAAACTCTCATCCAAATCGTCCTTAAAGTCCCCTCTACACCAGCTCCTTGTTTCCCGAGCAGGAGGAAACTAGTCCCCACACCCCAGCCTGCTCTTGCCCTTCCCCTTCCCTGCACATGGCCTGGGGCCCTCCTCTCTAGTTCCCTAGGCTGTGCCTAAACAGAGCTGGGGCTGCTTCTGTCTTTGCTAGCTGGATCCCAGGTTGATCCCAAATCGTGTGTGTGCGCCCCTGGCCTTGAGCAGTGTTTTCCCATTTGCTCTGCGTGGGCACGTGGTGTTGGGGTATGATTCACTTGGTGGGTGGAGGAGAAGTCTTCTGGGGTCTCCCAGAAGGGGGTCTCCCACTCAGTGCCACAGAGGTAGAGAGTGGCACTAGGAAAAATGACCCCCCCCCAGAGGTCATGTGCCTCATGCTTCCTTGTCCCCTTCCCTCCACCCCCCTGAAGCCTTCCTTCTTCCCTTTGTCAATGTCAAAGAACAGAGGCACACTGGGCAGTGGAGATGGCCAACTGGTAGGTACGTGTCCAGTGGACAAAGGTTGGCCAGCTGAGCTGGGAGGGGGGTACCATCTCTGTCTCTCGAACCCCCTACTGATAGGCAGATAGAGGTGACATCACTGTGGGGGTTGAGACCCCTTGACTGTAGACCAGGGCTCCCAAGAATTTCTTCCTCCGTAGTGGCTACCATTGGTTTTATCTCCTGGGGTTTCCCTGCAACTCAAGCCAGTTTCAGAGTCTTCCCAAAGTTCCCCTTTCTTGTAGTTTTTGAAAACACAATACCTGTTTGCCTTAAAGATTTATTGCAGCTCGTCAGTAGTGAAGTACCAGTTACCCAGTTCAAACAAAGCCTGGCTTTTGGTCCGGACTCCCTCGGGTCAGGAAGGTTTCATTTTTATCCTCAAGTGGAGTCCGAAGCCCCTCCCATCCCCAGCTTTCCAGGACCCTTCACCCACAGAGATCCGCTCTCCAGAGTGCCCTTGGGAGAAGCCCTCTGTCACAGTGGGAGACTCAGGCTGCCTATTCCGCCTCCTTCAGCCCTCAGCACATCTTCACACCACACAGAAATGATGTGCTCAGAACCTGCACCGACTCCAACACTGTCCTCATTCTAAGCGCGGAAGTCCTCCCCTCTTAAGTTGATTAAGTTTATTACTTTCTTCCAGGAGGTTCTTTGGCCCTGCAAGTGTCCTCTAAAGAGAAACACTGTTAGTCACCTTAATGTGTGTGTTTCTTATCAGATCGCTTTCCTCAGAGACAGAGCCCCAGCCCTGGCACTGAGCTGGGAGGTGCCGGGAGTGGCCTCTGGAATGGAGGGTGTCACCACTTTTTCCCCTAGGGCAGCATGTCCTGCAGGGCCAGCCAAGTGTCATGCCCTACACAGGGGGAGACTGCAAACCCTGACCTGCCCTGTGACACCAGTCCAATCCCGGCCTCAGACTCTGGGAGACCCTTGGCCCCTGCTGACATAGACACCCCGTGTTTATGTCAACAGAGCGGTTGCTGGAGCTGTCAGGCTCCTGCTGCCTGGGGGTGTCCGCTGCCGGGGCCAGTGTTTGTGTACCTCGTCTCAGTAGTGACCAAGGGGGCGGGCACACCCAGGCTGGGTCTCTGGGGCAACGCGCTGTTGGGGTCCCACCTGTCACTGCACATAAAGCACCTACTCCATCAACGTTCTCCTGAGGTGTCTTCTTTCACAGAGTGAGAATTTAAACCTTCCCCTGATGAGTTTCTATTTTCCACCAGCCTCCTCCTGGCCTCTCTACTTGCTGCTCAGTGAGGGCAGCTCAACATCTGGCAGAGACCCGAGGAATAGCTGGGCCTGACCTGTCGCCTCCAAGAACCTCTAATGTTTTCTGAAATGACCATGGGAAATGGGACAAGGGGAGAAAGCCTGCGGTTTATCCTCGGCTTAGCCTAGCCAGGGCCAGCCACACAGAAAACGGCTGGGCCTCCCTCAGACACAAACTGGGGAGTTGCCTTTTGGGTCTCACCCCAACTCAGCAGCTAGTGTCTAGTGTCTTCATCCCTATCCACACCCCTCCCTACACACGCACACACCCTCAATGTACCGATCGCCTGCACAGCCCGATATCAGCCCCTAGCCTCCTTCTCACCCTTCTCCTTCAGAGCCTGGCCTCGGGTTCCTGGCCACAGTCGGCCTAGATGGCATAAGACTTAAGGGCACGACTCTGGAAGCATGTAGCTCTGTTCTCACTAGTTGTATGATCTTGGACATGTCTCTTAACCTCTCTGGTCTCAATTTTCTCCCCAAGAAAAAGAGAATAATAATAGGACCTACCCCAACTTCCCTATGAGGAATGAGTTAGTTTATAAGACCTGATTAGAGAGGTGTCAGACTCCCAGTAGGGGCTGTGTAGGTTTCATCTCTCACTGAATTCCAGGTAGCTGGCACAATGAGAGAGGCAGGGAACTTGGAGGCTGAGAGCCCTAGGTTCAAATCCCAGCAGCCCACTGTGAACGATCATGACCTTGAGCTATATGCTCAAGTTACCTCACAGTCTCCTCTGTGGCTTGTACTGCTAGCAACTTAACCCAGCAGTGTGGGGGTGGGGGGAGGAAGAGGAAGGAGGGCTGGGAAAGCCTGCCCTAAAAAGAGTATAGGGGCAGGGGAGGAGGCAGAGCGCTGGCCCCTGATGCCCCAGATTAACTGCTGCACTCGTGGCAGAGGAAACTGGTCTGACTTGGAAAGGAGAAACAGCGACCAGTCAGGAATTCAGGCCCCTTGGAGGTGCCATAAATAGCCAGAGCAAGTCTGAGGGCCTCCAGGGATGACAGGTGGGGGTGGGGGTGGGGGTTGTAAAGGAGCAGTGGAAACCAGAAGGAAGTTATCAGTCATCGGCCCAGGGGAGGGTCCAGGGCTCTCTCCCAAGAGTCAAAGGAAACACTCTATGTGGGTGTGGTGGGAGCAAAGGGTCATCCCTTCAGAAGGGACCAGCCTGAGGTCCCTGCACCATCTCCAAGACCACTCGTGGTCAGCAGATTTTCCACACTGTTCATCTCTGCCCTGGAGGTTGTAAGAGCCAGTCCTGTTTCTTCATTTTCACTCCTTTGACCATTCTAGACCAAAGAGCATTTGCTCAGTCTATGTTTTGGGCGTGAGGCCTGAGACCCAGAGATTTGGCCAAGATCATGCTACAAATCAAGGGCTGAGATGGAGGGTGAACATGACTTTGTTCCCCCTTGCAATCCAGGGTCATACGCACCACACAGAACATGAGAACCATCCCAGTGGAGGACCCTCCTAACTTTCCTCCTGGACACATTTTGCACTTCCTCGAACTCAAGCACAGCAGTGTCGCTGCACAGGCAGTGGGAAATGCTATAGAAGTGTGCTCACCAGAGCTCGCTGAGCGCAGTCCTGGAAATAAAAACGTAGGCTCCAGAGACCTGGATTGAAAGCCTCTTGTGGCTTTCACGTCCCCTCACCTTGCAAGTCACAGTTCTCTAAACAAAGACCAAATACAGGCTAGGTGAGGCCGGTGTGAGGACTCAGGAGGAAACTAAACTGGAGAGTTGGACAAATGCCCCAGTGTTACAGAGACTGGGAGCTGCAGGTGAGGCAGCCTCGGATTCAGCTGTGTTCTTGCCAGTTACGACAGTGCTTGGCATGTCGGGGCCTTGATAGGTGCTGGTCACATAAAACAATAAAGTAAACTCTCTGCATGTTAAGGTTGTGTGTGTGTGTGGTGATGACAATAATGTGCACTTGCTACTTCTCAGTTATCACTGCCTTTTCTTTGTGGACACAGACACCATTGCCACTACCCTATAATTTAATGCCTAAAAAAAAAACCTCTGGATAAGAATGCCCTTAGTATACATCTAGTAGGGTGACCATATCATGTCCTGTCAACACTGAGGTACGAGGAGGGCACAAGAAGTAACGCACAGGCAACGATTATAAACCGTCACTGCCCCCAGCAAACCAAAATGCTTGGACATCCTGCTTAATGCAAGGGCCCCATGCTGCTCAGAACTCTCTGGAAGAGAGAACCCCCAAACTCTCCAAAAAATTGGATTCAGAGCTCCCTGACCAATTCTCCACTGGGACGGAGTTCCCTACCCATTCATCTGTGCCACCCAACCTCATTGGGTACTGTGTTCAGACCAGTTCCCCGATGTTCTTAAGTTCCTCAGTTGCAACCTTCCATTGCCCTGCAAAGCTCCCAGAGTATTTGTTCCAAACACTAAAACACTGGCCCCACTCGCTGCATGTGAAGTGCCCCCATCATCCGGTCATCTTTCAAGGCAGTGCCAGCTCAGAGAATTTTCTGGGGTCCCCATTTATCTCACCAGTGCCAACAGACTCATAACTGGCCTTCTGTTGTTGTTTTTTCCCATTTGGGGGCTCTTATTCTCAACCAAGAAACCTGGCTGAGCATGTGAAAATTTAAGTGAGACAGTGTGTCTCATCGGTTCAGAGACCAAGGTGTCCGGTCTCCTTTAGACAAAATGTCAAGGTTTCTTTAACAGCCCATCAGCCCAAACCTACTGAGCCCTTGTTTATTACTCTGGCTTCATCTCCTAGGAATGTCCAGCCACACGGGTGTCCTTCTTGTTCACCAAACACACAGGAATGCTCCCACCTTAGCACCTTGGCACCTCCTTGGTATATTTTCTCCTTAGCTACCCATTCTCCTCGCTGCCTTCAGATCTTTTCTCAATGGGCCCCTTTTCAAATTCCTTCCAGGGCCACCCTTTAAAAAACTAAACCCATCTCCTCACACTCTTGTCCCCTAACTTCGGGATGATACTCATTGGCTCCCAGGGCTATGGAGAGCATTAACTTGGATTTTACACGTAAACCACTAAACTCACTGTCTGGCCAATTTCAAATCTCAGAGCTTAGTAAAGAGCAGCACCATTATCAGTAGAGACTCCAGTCTATTTGACACGCCATGATGTGTGTACGTAACAGGCAAAGCCACATTCACTCCCTTTGAGTCACAATTCATGCCACCCCTCCTCAGGGCCCTCCATTCCTAGATCCAAGTATCCCCAACCGACTGGAATGGGATGAGATCTCTTTGCAAGCAGCCCTCTCTTCAACACAGGCCTACTCCTGCTTAAACCTGAGAGAGCGTGTCCGCTAAATCGCAGGATGCCCACCTTGATGTGCCTTCCACAATGGCCCCCAGGGGAGCTGCGAAAGTTCGGTGGGACACATATTAGGTGAGGGAGGAGGAAGAGGGTGAGAATACGAATGTATGTGTGAATATACGTGTGAATATATGTGTGAGCTGGTGGGGGAAGAGGAAGCAGGCCAACCCGCCCCACCTGCCAGCTTCCTGTCTTTGCCTACTGATAAATAGGGGATACTAATGGCCAGATTTTCCATTCCCCCACCCCCATCCTGGCACAGACTGTCACTCAATTAAAAAAAGACAGAGGGGGAGGGCTTGGGGGAGGGGCAGAAGAGCTCTGCTTATAAAGCCTGTGGCTCAGGGGTGAGAACACTAAGCCTGGCCTGCCTGGTCATCCCCAGTCAGATTTAGCTGCTGACAGCTGTTTGGGACTCTGCCGCCAGGCCCTGGCCTGCCCGTCACCTCTCTGCTGTCTCAGTGACTCCGGAGCCACAGTCCCTCCATGGCCCAGAAAGAAGAGGCTGCTGCAGCCGCTGCACCCGCCTCCCAGAATGGGGAGGATTTGGAGAACCTGGAGGATCCTGAGAAGCTGAAGGAACTGATTGAGCTGCCGCCCTTTGAGATCGTCACTGGGTGAGCACCCAGTGTGGGCAGGAGGCCTCATCCCTAGAAGAGGACAGGGGCTGGGGGTGGGCTGGGGGAATGTAGGTCCCTAGTAACAGGGTTCAGGGTGGGCCACAACCCTGCAACCTTGAGAGTGCATGTGTACACTGTATGGAGGACACAGTAGCAGACCTGTCCTGGTTTCTCTGGTGGACCCCTAATAAAGGAGCAGTAGGAGAAGCTGGTTGGAGACACGGGCCTAGGGAATGAAATCCCCCTTAAGGGCCCCTGGTGCTGAGTTGACACCTGAATCGCTGTAGAGATTGCTCAGTATTGGGGTGTTTGGTAAGAACCCCAGACTGATGGTAGCACATTTAAATAGAGCGCTGGACAAAGTCTTTCTCTCGGGTCTTCTGTCTCTGCGTCTGAGTGGGCCTTTCCTTTATCTGGATGCCTCTCATTCTTACTTTAGAGTTTCTCTCTGAGGTAGAAAATCCTAAGACAGGGAAAATAGAGCCATCCTTAGTTAAGGCTGAATGAAAAGATTTGTTCTTGCTGAATCTTTCCTGAGTCTACCCAAGGACAGTCCACATCTACCCCTAGGGGAACAGAGACGGGACCATGCAAGTAATGCAGGCCAGCCAGGGCTCTGGACACACAAGCTCCCACAGCCACTGCCTGTAGGACTCAGTGACATGTCCAGAGGCTCTGAAGAGGGACTGCATACAGGGGCCCTCTGTCTTGTGGAGTTTATGTCTGGTGCAGAAATGAAAAGAAGTAGTCTTCCACCTCTTCAAGCCTCTCTCTGTTCCTATAGGGAGGGACTTGCTAAATTCCTAAGCAAAGAATAAGAAAGGAATTGGGGAGGGTACATTTCCTTCCTGTACCCCAAAGTTTCCTTCATGGCAGTCTCCAGCAATGCCCAGGCAAAGGAGGAGGCACCAATAAGGGAAATTTCAGAATGGAGGTCTGATGCCCCCTGGAAGCAGAAGGAGGCTGGATGGCAATTTGGACTTGCTATTTTAAGCTTGGCAAGTGATTTTCCAGTCCTGGCCTCAGGTCTGTCATGTGTAACAGGAGGAACTTATACTAGTTAATTCCTAATGTTCCTTCCAGCTCAGATATTTTCTGATTTCTAAGAGAACCTGAGTTGCTGAGGTGAGAGTTCAGAGAAAAACTTGTGTTCATTCATGCCCAACCAACTAATGTCACCCTCATCCTGGAATTAAAGGAGCAGCAGGACAGAGATTAATATAGACTAATGGAGATGCAGGGAGGGCCCATGGCCACCTAGCCTGGAAAGACCTCCATTCCATTGTCTATAGGAGAGCCTTTCTCTAACATCTCGGCAAGCTGGTCCCTGCTCTCCTAGTTCACACACAAAAAGGTATAGACACTCTGTGCCTGCCATGTTGTGATCTGCCCAGCACTGGCAGGATAGACCTGGAACACAACTAAGCTGTTTGAGTCAAGTCAAACTTGTTCCGGAGTCTGAGGATAGTGGGACCCACTAAGGGACCCACTAAATTTCTCTGATGGAACTTGCATTTTTCTGGGACTTTATGACCAGAAGACCCTCTCTTGTGTGTGAGACTCCCCTAGGGCCACAGAACCAAGAAGTGGCAGGTCTTCTGAATCAGGACAAGGGTGCACTGGTCTCCTACACATTCCAGGTCCCAGGCTTCCCAAATAGAGCTCCACTCTCCATCTGTGAGGTAGTATGCTTCAGAAATAGAGGCACAGCGGGGGGCAGCCTCTGGGCCTCTGAGAGCGAGGGGCCCCAGTGTTTCCTGGACACGAATAACAGTTGTGGAGATCTGTCTCCTGGCACCTCAGAGTAAATAGAAGTCTTAAAATAGCTCAGAGGTGTGACTATGTCTGTGCAGGGACAGGATGAGGGAACAACTTTCCTCTCCCCCACCAAATGCCCTGGAGTCAAAGGGGTTGGGGACTCAGTTCCTCTGATAGCCTGTATGCACATGAGAGATGGATTAATCCATCCTGCTCCTTAGATCTGGACTGCAAACCAGCTGAAGAGCAAGTGGTTTTTTGGGGACACTCCAGGGTGAGAAGGGTGTACTAGGTAGTGAGTGAGAGAGATGTCCTGCTTGTCAGAATTCAGGTTTGAATAGGGCACTCAGGTAAAAAGTAGACCTAAAAACATTCCAAAGTAAACAGTGGAAACTGCTAGAAAGGATCTAACACTGTGACAGGGTGCCAACGTAGATCACCTTGGCAGAGAGCTGACTGCCACCTCTCTTCCCACCTCCCTCTTAGACTTCCAGCTGGTTTCTTAAAGTCTCTATTTCAAGAGTGTTTCTAGAAATCAAGGCTCTTCTTTTCTTCCTTCCAGAAAATTGGGTGTTAAACCAACACACCACTAAACAAGAAGCCTCTGAAATAAGAGAAAGAGTAGAGAGAGATCAGGCTTTGTACTTATGGCTGAGCCAGGAGAAGCACCACCCATCAACACTAGGTTTAATTTCTTTTTTAAAAGATTTGTGTAGGCCCTACCTGGTGGCGCAGTGGGTTAAAGCACTGCACTAAGAAGCTAAAGCCACTTCAGCATGAGTTCGATTCCCGCCTGCCCCGGAGGTGACCACATGGCACGGCAGATCTCTCCTGACCCGCCTGCTGCTCCTCTCAGCAGTGTACTTCATCGATCTGCCTTTTCTGCTCCCACTCTGTCTCTGGTGAAGCCTCTCGCCGCCCCTGAGCCTCTGGCCTGTACCCCAGTTCTGTATGCACAAATAAATAAATCTTTAAAAAAAAAAAAGTTAAAAAAAAAAAAAGATTTGTCTATTTATGCATACTTATGCATACAAGAACTGGGGTACAGGCCAGAGGTGTCGGGGGTGAGAGGATTTACCAGAGACAGAGCAGAACAGGCAGATGACTGAAATACACTGCTGAGAAAAGCAGTGGGTGAGACAGGAAAGGTCTGCTGTGCCATGTGGGTCAGCTCCCTGGCTGGGGATCAAACTAATTCTACAGTGGCTGCTGATAGCTTCATAGTGCTGAGATTCAACCCCTTGCTCCACCAGGGTTTAATTTCGTGAGTGTTAATCGTTGTCACCGTACCTCTTTCTGATGAGGAGACCAGAAGGAACCCTCAGGAGAAGTAGCTAATCGAAGCTAGTAGACAATGTAGGACGTGACCCCCAGCCTATCTGACTGACTCACCACACTGCATCTGAAAAAAAAATCAAGACAAGTGTTTTATTTTCACAGATATTTACTAAGTAGAGGTCATTTCTTTCTGCCCACTTCCCCAACTAGTTTCTAACTTCTGGATGGACATTGACTTTACCTTTTAACTGTTTTATCCCTAGCAAAAAGAACAGCCCTGATCCCTAATAGATACTCAATAAATATGTGCTGAATCACAAATGAATAAACTAACAAATGAGCATCTGCTGTGCGAGGCTCTCTGCCAGGCACCAGGACTGAATTAATTGAGCGGGGGGAGCTATCAAGAGGCTCAAGATGGTTCAAGATGTGGAAGTGTAAGCTGTGGAAGAGGGCAACCCTGATCCAGGGCCACCTCTGAACTCAGCAAGCTGTAGGGAAGCTGTGGGGCTCTGGAAATGCTGGTCACCCCATCTCTCCAGACTGGACCCCTTGCTGTGTGTTTGTCTCGAGTGTGTTACGTTTGTGTTTGTCTCGAGTGTGTTACGTTGTGTATATATTTGGATGAGCTAAACCTGCAATCAAAGTTGTTAGTATGGAAAGAGATAAATGGCACTAGCAACCTGCAGGGGTCCACCTTTGAATCACTGCCTTAGCTACCGGCAAATTTGCCCTAGCCATGTCAGGAACACAGAGAGAAGAGGCAGGGTTCAGAGGAGATGGGTGAGGGGCTCCCTTATCTGGAGCATATTGGGAAGATTATTCTATAAAGAGTAGAAACCAGAGCCAGCCAGCCTGGCTCCACTGAGAGTTGGCGGAAGGTCAAAGACCATGTGATGGTGCCCACTCTGAGGGGAGGGCTCAGAGCTGGCCTTAGGCAGAATCCCACAGGAACTGCCAGTCTGAAGCAAGCAAGGCAGCAAATCCCTTCCCTGCTCTGGGAAAGCAGGCTGCCGGAACTCTCTGCTCCTCCATCCTCCCCCCTCTCAATATAACCACTCCTCAGCATCCTATTTAAAAGAGGCTTAAAAATGGTAAAAGAGGCCCTCCCTGGTGGCGCAGCGGGTTAAAGCACAGCACTAAGAAGCTAAAGCCACTTTTGCATGAGTTTGATCCCCGCCTGCCCCGAGGTGACCACATGGTGTGGCAGACCTCTCCTGACCCGCCCGCTGCTCCCCTCAGCAGTGTACTTCAGTTGATCTGCCTGTTCTGCTCCCCACTCTGTCTCTGGTGAATCCTCTCACCCTCCGCATCTCTGGCCTGTACCCCAGTTCTGTATGAATAAATAAATAAATCTTTTTTTTTTAAAGATTTATTTATTTGTGCATACAGAACTGGGGTACAGGCCAGAGGCTCAGGGGTGGCGAGAGGCTTCACCAGAGACAGAGTGGGGAACAGAACAGGCAGATCACGAAGTACACTGCTGAGGGGAGCAGCGGGCAGGTCAGGAGAGGTCTGCCATGCCATGTGGTCACCTCCGGGGCAGGCGGGAATCGAACTCATGCGGAAGTGGCTTTAGATTTTCAGTGCTGTGCTTTAACCCGCTGCGCCACCAGGGAGGGCCAATAAATAAATCTTTTTAAAAAATGGTAAAAGAAACTGAAACCCACAATTCTATGTCTTTCAAGCAGGTCACTGAAGGGTTTGGTGAGGAAAGCTGACACTCGTCAGCACTCAATTACCTGTGAGTAGATTTTCCACTCGCTGGATTATTCCGGAGTGAACGTTTAATCTCAGACCAGCTCCTACTGCCATCCCCTCTTTACTATCCATTCCCCCACTAGCATCTAATTTCTGTATGGACATTGACTTTGCCTTTTAACTGCTTTATCCCTAGCAGATTTATGCTTAGACAAAGCAAATGTTTTCTAACATGAATGTGAAGGGAGGGGAAAAAAACATAAATATATTACATTTACTCACATCCCTCCCCCTCATTCAAGCAGATCATCTTCCTCATTTTTCCCAGATATTAGGATTCCTCATTTCCTGTCTTAGAGGATTGCAATGCTCAGAAGCCTGGGTCTAAATAGGTGGAGTGTGAATGGCCTATAAAATGGTCATAAACTATGAGGAAATGGAGCTTAAGCAGGTGCTATTAAGACTGGGGGAAGGGCCAAAAAGAATGCTGTTGGTTTCTGTGCTCACAGAAAGCCCAGGTGAAGAGAGCTGCCATCAGCGACTCTCCCGATTACCACCCCACTTCCCCAACACACGCACACATACTCCCCACTTTAGCAGCAAAACATCTGCTGGGCTTGGGACTAAAGGCCTACCATATAGGTAAATACAGTCCTCAAAAAAGATGTCTGTGGTTATCTAAGAAATTAGGGTCTCATCCATCCTCCCACTCATGCTTCAGTTTCTTTCAGTCACATAACGGCATCCACTTATTTCATGACTCTAATCACCCAAGAAGGCCACGCTGTCTGTTTCTTCCTCAAAGAACAAACCTCTACTACCTCTGCCCACCTGGTTTCCCTTCCAGGCCTGGCTATTTCAGTCTGTGAGAGTCCCAAACCCAAAGAACTGCCTTTGACCTTAGTGCTCCTTCTAGAAGACCAGGAAGCCCATTAAGAAGTAAAGCAAGTTCAATCCTTTGAGCAAGCCCAAAGGAAAGAGTGGAAGCCAAGACTTTTCCTGACTTCCCTCCCGAAGCACTGAGTTCTGAAGACCTGCTGGTTTGCAGTAGTGGCTAACCAGAGGAGTTAGAAACCAATATATATAGAAATAAAAGTTTTTCTCTAGGTCATCTTGTGCCTGGAGAAGAGGAAGCATAACTGACAGAGCTTAAGTGAGGCAGAAAGAAGCATCCTCAGGCCAACTTGCAATGCCATGCTGGGCCAGACCCTCACTCAGGTGCATTTAGTAAAGTCAGAGAAATACTTTTGGGGACTCCAGAAGGAAAGCTGAGGGACCACACAGCAACTGATACCCCCAAGTCCACAAGCAGCTATGAATACTTCCAAGAGTGTTCACAGCCATCATAGAGGTGTCTCTGGATTAGTTTTGGATGAGGGGTGGCAGAGGAGGTGAAGGGAGTGGGTAAAGGAGTGGTCTGGCAAAAAGCCTTGAAGAACAAAAAAACGGTTGGACAGGAAAGGTAAGTTCTATGCCTCTTGGAAGAGAAAAAGCTGCTCCAGGAAGTGAAAAGGCCATAAAGTTCAGGACTGATCTGGTGGGGTAAGTTTAATTAGGGAGACCTGATCCCAGTAGGAGATGAAAGAGAGGGAATCAACAAGCCATTCCATTCTCCTAGAATGTTAAGTAAATAATGCCCAATGCTATACTTAGAGACCTAAATGTAATACTTGAAGGATCCCTGGGGCTGGTCCTCAAACACTTCCATGGCCACAGTGGAAACTTGACAGCAAGGGGCAGGGAAATGTGCGTGGAGAAAATTTGGTGATGGAGTGCTGAAGGGAAATAACTCAAGTTTACACAGCTATTTGGCACCTACCTGATGTTTGTCCCTAAGAAGCCAAGGCCCTGGGATATCAGGGACTTCCCTGAAGACCAGGGGGTTGGGTGCCCCCTCTTTGGAAAGAGCCGGATGGAGAGAAGCAACACTGGAGTTAATGGTTGCCGAAAGATATCTTCTGGGGCAGCCACAGAGATCACATTTTTACAAAATTGAAAGCATTTAGCCTCTCCAGCTGGTACTCATCCCCATCTTTCCTTCTGACATTTTCAGTCCCTCCCATCAAAGCCTCCTCGTTCTCCTTGGCCTTAAAACCAACACACACCTCTCCTATTTTATAAAAACACATACATACACATAAAAACAATCAATCTTCCATGCCAGTGCCCTCTCTAGCTGCCCCACTCTTTCCCTCTCCTTTTTATTTTCTTTAAAGATTTATTTATTTATGCATACAGATTGGGGCACAGGCCAGAGGTGCAGGGGCAGTGAGAGGATTCACCAGAGACAGAGTGGGGAGCAGAACAGGAAGATCACCAAGTACACTGCTGAGGGGAGCAGAAGGTGAGACAGGAGAGGTCTGCTGAGCCATGTGGGTCACCTCCGGGACCGGGGATTGAACTCACACTAAAGCAGCCTGTGGCCTGCTTGCAGTGCTGTGTCCTAACCCACTGCACCACCAGGGAGTGGGCTACTACCAATTTTTGATTACTACCATTTGATTACTACCAATTTTTTCCAAAAGCTTGACCTTTTCCTGCTGCTTTTATTTCCTAATTATCCATCTCTCTCTGAAACCACTGGATGTACTCATCAAGTCTGGTGTCCTAAGACACCATGGGGGGCTTTCTAAATGGTAGGCCACTCCCCATTTCACTGCCTAAAGTCATCACAGCACTCTTCAGTGGACATCATTTTCATTATGTCTTTCTTTACTCAAGAACCTGTATTGATTCTCTATTGTCTTCTGAATGAAGGTTAAACTTTGCTTATTCTTTTAGCAGGCTTCTTTTATTTACATCTTCTCTCTCCAGTTAGAGATTAGAAGCCCAGGGAGGGTAGAAGTGACATTTTGCATGTCTTGGAAATTACTCAATGCTCTATACAAGGTAAATTCAACCAAGCTAAATTATATCCTCACAGATAAAAGTTCTTGAATCCTTATCATTTCTTCTTTCACCTTAGCAAAGTCCTGACAAGCAGTCAGTAGGTGAACAGGGATGATACTGCAAGCTGTAGGCCTTTCCATGCCTGAGGTGGAATATGCATATACATGAGGTGTTTTTTTTTTTTTAAAGATTTACTTACTGATGCATACAAAAATGGGGTACAGTCAGAGGTGCAGGGGTGATGAGAGGATTCACCAGAGACAAAGAAGGGGGCAGAACAGGCAGATCGACAAAGTACACTGCTGCGGGAAGCGGCTGGCTAGACAGGAGAGGTCTGCCACGCCATGTGGATCACTCCAGGGCCGGGGACTGAACTCTCAGAAGTGGCCACAGCTTGGCTTAACTTCACATTGCAGCACTCCAAACCACTGCGCCACTAGGGAAGGCCCCTGTACACATAAGTTATAAGGAGAAATAAATGCATAAAATGTTCTGCAACATCTTTGCCTTGCTTTACCCTGAGAAATTTTTTACTGGCTACTATGGAAAATAATGCTTCAAACACTGCTTTTCAAAGCTGGCCACACATTATAATCATCTGCAGAGCTTTTTAAAATATATTCTGCCACCTCCCCCATGTTTTGATTTCATTGGTTTGGTGTAGAGTCCAGACACTGATATTTGTAGCATCGTCTAGATGATTCTAATACACGGCCAGGCTAAAGAGACATTGATTTAGAAGTGCAGGAGTTTGTTGCGTGTGAAAAACGATAGTGGAGTCAGTATTTGCGGGTGATTCCTACTGGGGTGATGGGTCCACAAACCTCAACCCAATTCTGTCCTCACCTCTAGATAAACCCTTTTGGGCTCCTCACGCCGTCTTGTCACTGACGCTAGCGTAGGCAAGGCCTCTCTTAGTAGTAATGAAGGCATCTCCTGCCCATCCTTGCAGGACCTACCTGCTCCAGGCGGGTCTCACAATCAAGAACACAACCATTCTCTCTTCTACCCTGCTGCTTTGTCTCCTTAACCCACAGGGAGCGACTGCCTGTCAACTACTTTAAGTTTCAGTTCCGGAATGTGGAATACAGTTCCGGGCGGAACAAGACCTTCCTCTGCTACTTGGTGGAAGTGCAGAGCAAGGGAGGGCAAGTGCAGGCCTCCCGCGGGTACCTGGAGGACGAGCATGCCACCGCCCACGCCGAGGAAGCCTTCTTCAACACCATCCTGCCCACCTTCGACGCGGCCCTGCAGTACAATGTCACCTGGTACGTGTCCTCCAGCCCGTGTGCAGCCTGCGCTGACCGCATTATCAAAACCCTGAGCAAGACCAAGAACCTGCGCCTGCTCATTCTGGTGGGGCGGCTCTTCATGTGGGAGGAGCCGGAGATCCAGACCGCGCTGAAGAAGTTGAAGGAGGCTGGCTGCAGACTGCGCATCATGAAGCCCCAGGACTTCGAGTACATCTGGCAGAATTTTGTGGAGCAAGAAGAGGGTGAATCCAAGACCTTTCAGCCCTGGGAGGACATTCAGGAGAATTTCCTGTACTATGAGGAGAAGCTGGCAGACATCCTGAAGTAGGTGCAGCTTCATGTGAGTATTCAGCAGGAGCTCTCGATACACTGTCCACTTGCATGGGGGACTGACGGACTGGTGTAATGTGTATTTGATTTTCCTTTGAAAGAATTTCATTTCTCTGTGGTTGGTTGTAAAAATATTTTAGAAGATCCATCTCCTTTGCGCTTTCCTCTGCATCTCTCTCCCTAAGTGCTTTTTGCTCTGACCCTTTTATATCAAGCTTTCTCCATAACTTGGGATACTTAGGTTGATAGCAACCTGAAAGCTTTCATGAGACAGGATGACCTTCTGTAGTAAGATTTAAATGGTGCACGGGCCTGATACTGAGCACTGGCAGGAGAGACATTGAAATCCCTTAAGCATGCCTCCATGGACCTGAAGCTAGACTTAACCAAGGACCCTTTCTAGATGCCCAGCTCCCATCCCAGTTTGTATTTGCATTGTTCCATTTTCTCTTTTGGAGGTTTTTCACCCCTTCAGAGGCTATCTTTTTCATTTGGGGAACTTTTAAAAGTCCCCAAATGGACTTTAACATTTTTTTTTCCTTAGCCAAGCAGTTTTCATGTTTGAAAATAGTTCCACTTTAAGATAGTAATTGTTCTATGAATGTATAATGCAAGAGCATTTTTCTTATGCTGAGAAAACCTCAAGGAGAATGCACAGTAATATGCTCAATACAGAACTTGGGATTACAGAGCAATAAGTCCTTCAATGTGGCAATGTTTACAGGGTTAAAAAGAAGTGTGTAAATTAGGGAGAACTCAGAAGGAGCCTCCTACAGATATCAAGATACGATAAGAGAACTGGAAGTAAAGATTAGCTATTTAAGCAAATAATTAGGACACAATTAAGGCCAATTTGGCCTCTTGCTGAGGGTAAATTAGACTCTTACAGAAAGAGGCCGATTACCCTCAGGAAAGAGGGTAAAGGATCCCTTGCTTTTTTAAAATTTGGTCTGATCTACTTTGCTGCCACAGAAATACTATGATTGAGCCTCTTTAGAAAGCCTGATTCACTGATCAAAATCCTCCTGTAACGAGAAAGGGTTTTCCCCATCTCTACTCAACTTTTATTCTGGAACAATTCATATACGTAAATAAATGAAAGCAGCATACATCCATAAAGACAGTCAATTTATTTTGGTGTCTCTCCTAATAATTTTAAGAGAAGATGTCGCTTCATAGACATGTTTTAGAAATATTAGTGTTCCAGAGCTTGCCGTTGGCAGGTGTTTGCTATTAGACAGGCACACAGGGTGCCTGATCATTTTTCAGCTGAGCATTTGCCAATCCATGACGACACAGTTTCCAGCCATTTCTCACAAAAAAGCAAGACCCATTCTTTAACTGCAGTGAAACTGTGATAAGGTAACACCACCGGTACTCTGCACACATATAATAAAGACTAATCTGAATGGTGGGAACTAGTAATAAAAACAGACTTCTAAAGGTGAAAATACAAAATTAACATTTAAATTCCTTGCAGGTTTTATTAGAGTAGGTGTTACCACTGCAATTGTATCGCCTATACACTATAGAAAGGTGACTGGTAGCTTAATTCTACTTTCTTTTTAAACATCTTTTCAGTGTCATGGACCATTTCTTCCAGCTGACCAACTAGCAAGTCCTCAAGGATGTTTGCTGTGCATGTGTCTGTGTGCTGTTTTGTTTCTGTTAAGTCATAATTAGGCAGCTAAATCTGCTAGGAAAAGTAAGCATTTCAAGGAAGATTAAAAAGAGCTTTTAATTTTGGATAATTGAGGGTTGGCTCTTATACTAATCTAAATAGAAGTAATATAGATCAATCAGTTGGAAGGAAAAGTTCATTTCTAAGTCAAATTATTTTGAAATAAAATATTATTGGACAGGTTCCACATTTATAAGCATCTTTCCATTAGCGCACGTAACTGTTTTATCTGGACGCATTAACATGCCTCCCTGTCCTCTGTTTCCATTGCTCATGTTCCTGAAGGGAAAGGTTAAAATGTACTCAGTTCAAAAAACAAAAATTGGCATGAAATAGAGTTGTAATCTAAAAGCCCAAAAGAACAACTCTGCTTAATTAAAATACTCCCAAGAAATGGGCATTTGTTAAGGAAAATTTGCATCATGTTTTTATTCCATCTTTAAAAAAAAAAAAAAAAGACAGAATAGGATATAACTCAAAAGAATAAAGCAGATCTCTACTGGGGCTTTCTCTGCATGAGCAAGCCAAAACATGAATGAAACCTAATCCTGGATAAGCCAGAAATCACAAGAGACTATGGGCAGAAATTCAGGGACTTGTTGGGGAAGGCACATGAAAACTCTAGCTCAGAAAGGAAACTTCATTCTTTGGGATCTTAATAACATTCTGTTTTCCCACAGGGTCTGCCTGATGCCACCAAGAGACACCAGTGACATGTATGGCCAACTGGGACATGTCTGACTTCCTAATACCACTTGGAGCCGAACAACACTCAACACCAAGCAATCCTACTGCACAGGACCCTCAGAGGACTCAAAATATACTTTTCATGCCATAAATCACTTAAGCTGTGTTTTTCTCTTTAAGGCTGCTCTTGGGAAAGAGGAAAGTGAGCTGAGGGGAAGGGCAACCATATAGGGGCACTAGACATACTTGGGGATAAAGGTCCTAATTGTCCTAATTATTCCCCCCAAATGGGCTGCTTAAGACAGAGAGCCTCTGAGCCAAGGCGTGCACACATCTTTGAAATACATTTAGAAATGAGTTTTATGTGAAGGTGGTTTATTTTTTAAGAAATAAAACTGGCAACATGAATTTAAAAAAGCAGTGTGTGGGTTTTCTGAGACTATGTTTTTTAAGGAACTTGGACATTTAGAAGTTACTATGGACAGTAAGCAAGTTTTGAGAACAGGTCTGTCTCAGGCAATGAACCTCCCTATAACATTAGAAAACAGAAGGACTTGTCGAGACAATACAGGATACTAACTCTCCCAAGCAGACTTCCCAATCCACTCGACATTAATATTTTCTGCTGTGATTAACTTGTGTCTTTTCCCTTCTCCGAAAACGAGGGAAATGACATGAGTAGAGCACAAGTTGTGGGAAGCTTGTTTATAAAATCCCAGTCCCAACTGCAATGGGTTTTTGAAAAAAAAAGAGCAGAAAGGAAGAAGAGGCAATGTTGAGAGGCGTGCAGTGAGAGTTATCTGTGTGTGGTTCTTGATGGTGACTCGATGCCTCCAAAGCTGCATTTCTTAAAAGACTGGTTTGAGTCCCAGGAGAAACAAAATTTCACATGTTAATTTCTGAGTGTTGCCAAATTCCTAGGTTTCCAGGAATTATGTGTTCATTCTGATTATCAGGCCACCTTCCCCTAGACTTCAAGTGTAATAAGTCATTGGAATTTGACCCCAAGACTATTGGCAAACAACAAAGCACTTTATCACACCCTTGCTGAGTCCCAGAATTCTACTTACAGGCATACTTCCACTATAGTTTTTATTAAAAGAATCATCAGAAGTCTTACTCTATGGGAAAAAAAAAAAACCAACATTTAATTGTAGAGGAGTCAAGAAAACCAATGTGTTGACCCACATACTATAAGATTTGCACAGTAAAAATAATTTTGTCAAGTTTAATTCCAAATTTAGTTCCTATCATCCCTTTTGCTTTATACATATTTTATATACATTTATGTTACATATATGTGTCTTTGTATATTTAGGTATTTTCTTCATGCTTTATTTCCCCTTCAACCTAACATGGAAAGAAGGAAAACTTCCAGAAAAGTCTTACTCTTAACAGTATGGTAATGAACTTGTCCTTACACTGCATCCTCTACCCTAACACAGAGAGCCCATCTGTTCTACATAGAGAGACAGAAGAAATGAAATAATTTTTAAAACTGCTGCTCCCTATCAGGGTGAAGTGTGGTAAGAACAGAAGTCTAAAGTACAAAGATTATATTTAACCAGGGCTTTCCTGGTGTGCAACAAGCCCCTTCTTAGATCTGATTCTTTAACACTTGGGCAAGTAGCAAACCCTGTGACAGACCCAGGATTCACTCTAGAGAAAAAAAAATCAATAGTTGGCAGGTTTAACTCAACACCACAGTAAAGGGGCAAAATAAAGCTAGTTTTCCCAATACCTCTGATATTGAATCACTGCCTAAATCCAAGAACCTTATTCTCCCACCATGAAAACAAGAGTGGACAAAACGCTGCTGCTCTCTTCACTCAGCCAGAGGTTTACTGTTTACTGTTCTCAATCCCAGTTGGCTACAGATCATAATCCTCTACAGAGCTTAAAAACAAAGAAATTTGGCCACACTCTCCAACCTCACGACCAAACTTGACTGTGTGTGTGTGTGTGTTGGGGGGCTGGGGGGGAGGACGGGATGATGTGTGCAAAAGGGACTCTATTTTGTTAATATAGTTTTGAATCTCATATAGATTTTGTTAAGAGCCACTTTAACATTGACGTATTAAATCATTACTCCACACTAAACACTCTGCTAGGCATATATGTATTTTACTTTTTTCATAAACGAATTCAGATTGGCTCAGTTACAGACACTATGTGGTGGACAGAGGAAAGCGTTCACTACAAGGAGCCTCTAAAAACCCTTTCCAGTTCTTTGACTGAGAGCTCTAGTCCACCCTTATTTTCTCATCCTACTGCTCTTCCCACTGGGCCCTCTCTGAAATGCAGTTACAGGTGAACCCACCAGAACCCAAGTCCATGAGTACAGAACCTCACCTGACCACCAGAAAAAGGTATTTATTTATCCAAGATGGTCACCACAAATTTCTTGTTAACAACATAAAACTCTATTTCATAATTTAAACAAAAGCAAAACAGCCAGTATGAATTTAATGACATAAGAATCTTAGTAAATGCACAAACAGCAAAAGATGCTAATTAAAATGTTCATCCTTCCCGAAATTTCTCTTAAATAGTGGAGAAATAAAATCAACGCTGCCACCTAGTGGCAACCCCAAACAAATGTGATCCCCTCCTGGAGCAAAACAAGGGTCACCGGCCCAATATTTGGTTTTTCTGCCTAATATCAGGTTACCTACTCATCACCATCATGCCACACCCCCCCCCAAAAAACCCCACAATAGTCAAAAAATAAAAGGCAACATATTCCAAGCAATCCCTCTCCTTCATATTCCAGTCCAATCAGGAATACAGCACTCCAAGTCTGGCCTGGACATGCTGCTTCACAAGAAACTTTCCTTTGGCTGGTTTAAGGCCAGTCTCATGGCCCGGAAGGAACAACACAGGAAAGTGGGTACATCCAAAACGCTCATGTGTTCAAAGTGTATACACGGTAATTCTGATGTCTGTTGCCTCAAACACCTCCTCGATCATTGCGGATACATTTTCCCATTGCAGACGATCAAGACCACATCCAATCCTGAAAAAGAAAAAGTCTCCATTGGTTGTGAAGGAAAGTAAATCACTCCTTCCCTCTTCCTTTCTCTGCCTTTAGATCCAAAACATAAAGGCAAATTGCCTTGTCTTATAACGGTAGGTAACTATGGTGAGAGTTCAGAAATTAATTTCTGTTGAGTCATTGTGAGTCGCTTAAGACTGTTCCCAGATAGTTCCTATATCCAATAAGCTGTCACTTCTCTTTAGCCTAATTAGGTACCACTTCCCAATTATTTAAGGCTACATTAGAAACGTGTAACTCTGCTGTGACATAGGAGACTTGTTATTCATGTCTACTGCTGAAAACTAGCTGTGGGTAGTTGGTATTTTAAAAATATATGAGCGATAATGGAACATTTAGAGATAAAAAGTACAAGAGGAACAAGGATAGATTCTCTACGAAAAGGAAGTCAAACCAGAATGCTGGGAAATTCCAGTGTTTACAAAACCCTCACAAGAAACCTCAATAAGCCACAAAACTGCCTGGCACCTTTCTTCCAACATGTTACTTTATTTTTTCCCAATATCCCTAAGGGAAAAAGAGGCTAAAATGTGTTAATTTCATGTAACATGATAATCAAAACAGAAAAAAAATCATGATATAAAAATCAAAACAATTTCTAAGACATAAGCCATGAGCATAATAAAGACCTGAGTAAGATGAGGGACCCTGAAGATACAATCATAAGTAACTTGCATGCTTGGTCAGCACTGACAAAACTAAGTGACGAGAAGTGACCCCAAGCAAAAGGGATATCAATACCCCTCACCCCCCCAGGGTCAGTCCCTTAAGTTCCCAGTAGCTAGTGTGTAAGATGGTGTATCTGGGACTTACTCTTTAGCTACTACTCATGCTGACCACAAACAAGCATGCAGTTTAAAAAGTAGTAAAAACTTACAACTTTCTTCTTACAGGATTAACTGGTTTGGGACACCCAAGTGGCCCTGAGGGACACCAACTGCTCAGTCTTGGTTCTTTAGCATATATTGCTTCAGGAATAGAGGATAAGTTTCAGACAGAGATGCCCATTCAACAAATGTGACTGAACAACAATGGTTCCTCCCTACTAAGCAGGCTGAGGCAGGTATTTTAATTATACAGAATTAATCAACTTAAGCTAAAAAATGGGTATGCCTTGGCCAAAGGCCTGATCACTATTTCACTGGTGGTTTTACAAAGTTTTTACAGTTGTCTATATGTAACTTTGTATTTTGGGTTATGTTAAGCTTCTAAGTCACTTGTCTCTGGGTAAGACAATAAACCCCACCATCAATTAAGTCTTCAATTAGGACCTTGGATTTCCTTGCCTGGGCATAGAGAGGTCAGTGACTCCATTCTTCAGGCAATGGGACTTCATGGCCTCCAAACTCTTCTGTAGGTTTTCGTAAGTGGGCTTGTGTGAAGCCCTTTTTTTGGTAATCTGAGTACAAAGGAAGAATTCAAACTTCCATTAATCTAAAATGATAGCCAACAAAACGCTATTCCATTCTCCCAACATCCTGATAACTAAAATTAAGTTTATTTTTATAAAATAATCTAGAGTACCAGCAATCAAAAAAGATAAACACATGCCTTCTGCAGCAACATGTATGGAGCTGGAAGGGATCATGCTTAGTGAAATAAGCCAGAAAGAAAAATACCAATGGTTTCACTCATAGCAGGAATATAAAGGACCGGGGGAGAAAATAATAATAATGAACAACCATATTCCAGAGACATTTTATGGGAGTGGAGTAGGGAATGGGATCAAAAACAATGGGGGGAAGGAAATGCACAGGACTATGGTGAATGCACATGGGTGATGTGGTGATGGGAAGCCCACAGGGATTACAACTGAGATGGGAAAAGGCACAAAATGATGTTAAAAAAACAAACAAACCATTATATTAAAAAAAATAATAATCTAGAGTAGGCTGACAAATGTCCCTTCCAGTTTCAAGAGGCACCTTCAGGAAAATTCCTCTATTAGGATCTGAGAAATCCAGACACTGCCATGAAATAATCTTTCCTTTTCTCAAGAAGTCCTATTGTCAGTTGCTTTTAAGCAATTTTGGTGAAAGTCTCTGTGCCACTTCCAAAAGATAAGCTGCTCATCAAGGAGGAGGAGAAACTCATACCATCTAAAAATTTATTTCAAAACTGTGCTTAATTGTTTTTTCCCCTGTATTAGAACCGAAAGAAATACTCCAAACAAAGTTGGAAGATGGGGCCTCCCTGGTGGCCTAGGAGGGAGCACTAAGCGCCACTGCTATGGCCTGAGTTCAATCCCCAAACAGGGTGAGCCAAGTAGTGCAGCAGACCTCCCCTATTTCACCCACTGCTCCCCTCAGCAGTGTATTTCAGTAAAAATCTGCCTGTTCTTCTCCCCACTGTCTCTGGTGAATCCTCTCACCCTCACACCTCTAGCCTACACCACATTTCTTCTACACAAAATTAGAAAAAGTAGTAACTGGAATAACTTGGCCTTCAAAGAGGCTAGGGCATGCTCCCTACTTGGTGTGCTGTCCTTATCAGGCATAATGTGGATTGGTTATAATTCACCAAAAAGCAACATTCTTCCTGGAGTTTCTGAACAGAAAAAAGGAACTGTATAGTACATATCACTACTGTGGTAAAGGATGAGAGAAAAGTCTCTTTGACCTGTCTCTTGAGGTATTATTTGGTGCTATCTCATTAGGATGGGATATAAGGAAGTATCTGAAATTTTTGAGTCTTAGACACAGGTCTTTGGTAGATGTCTTTATATTCTGTCCCATAGAACTGGGACGCAACTTCATGTTCCTTTCCAATTCAATACTCCATGTAGCCACCACCATTGAATCTAAGTTGGTGTGAGGTCATAAACTTCCTATATCATTTCTGGTTATCAGAACGAAACATCATGATCAACACAAATGCAATGTAGCCCATGTGTTCACCAATCCTTAGAATGGATTGAGAATTGGTCCCGTCTTACCAAGTAATATATATATCGCCCATCTCTCTTCAGAACAGCCACTTCTCCAGATTTCTTTTCTAAGAAAAACAGTTAATAGTATAAAGAAAAAATGAAAACCAAAACACTAATCTCTACTCGTCAATTTTTAAAAATCTTTCTAGATCTGACAATACTTCAGAACCAGAAATTCCCGACTCTGAAAATCTACTATGTCTACCTTGTTCGTTAACAGCCTTCCTAAAAACTGTTTTCCTTCATTTCCAGGATTTTTAATCTTGTTCTCTTGATCATGTTTCCCATATACCCTATCTTTTGTCCTGTTCCTATGATACACATTACTTGTTCACTTTAAAAATTTGCATTTTTTTAACTTCCCAACTGTGTTACAAACAAAGAAATAACCATCATGGGAACAAAATTGTGTAAGTTTCCCACTTATTAAAGAACTCCCAGTCAGGGTGTGATTGTTAAAATAACTACAATGCAAAGCAGTAAGAAACTGCTTTCTTCAAGGAGTCACCTATGGGAACTGATTACTGGATTGTGGGCTGAGCAACTGTTTTAGAAATTCTACAGATGGTGACTCTAAGACTTATCTGATTTAAAATCATTGGTAGAAAGTCATGGAAGGTATCAATAAGGAAGAGGTTCCTAAATTCTCTGATGAAGAACAAATACAGTATCAGTAAACAAGAGGATCATGAATGCCACACCTGTGTACTTTGCTAAGCACACCCGTTAACAAAGGTTTCAGAAAAGTGAAGTAAAATAATCAAGAAAATTTTATAGTAGAGAGGAATTAGAAACTTTTAAAAACATTGGTGTATACCCACACTAGAAGTTATTCTGTCTGTGGAGCGGGAAATGTAATCTGGAGAGTTAAAAGCGCTCTCTGGCTAGGAGAACCCTCTTTGCATGTTTATCTTGTTTAAGAGATCAAAGGGATGTTTTAGCCAGGGTAGAGGAGGTAAATTGCTTTCAAAACTCACGTTGATTCAACAGTTCCTGCACCCCTCCAAATTTCTTCTTGAAGAGGACAGCTATCCCAGCACCCATTCGACAATCCTCACTGATACAGTGGGCTAAAGAGTCTGTTTTGGGGCATGCAAAAAGGTCTCCTTTCACATAAGTGATCTAAAATGTGCAAAGGGAAAGAAAAGATTTTATTAGAACCAGAAAAATACTAAGGTCTTTCATGTTCTTTTACTGTGTTCCCCACCACTATTCTTCTCCCTCCTTTATTTAAAACCAGAATTTAAGGATTAACTACTACAGATTAAAGCTTGTATAAAAGGAAAGTGATGATCTGCCTAGGGGTGCATTAGCCTCTTGGAAGTAAATCAGCTAAAGTGAGAAACAAGACAATTCAATTATTGGTTTAATTAGAAAATGTTTATGCCTTTGACCTCAATTATTCTGAATTTCTGTTCATCGATAAGTTAATGGTTGTTACGCACTCTGCTTCCTTCTGTATCTTCATTGGGGCTGCCGGCCATGATACTGAGTCGCTATCTTCAAAATTTAAGTAGTTTCTTCAGCTATGAGAAGGGAAAGAGAAGCACAAATGCTTAGGCAGCCTGAATATATCCCATATCCATATTGCCCTCACCGCCCACTTAATTTCCCCCCTTTGATCGCTGAATGTGAGTTCGTTTGGCCTCTAGGAAACAATACAAAAGTCCTCGAGGGAGAGAAGGATGCCTAGGTACGGGGGAGGTCTCATAGGGCTCATTTTTCGCGCTCTCCAGCAGCGCCCCGCTCCGCCAAAAGAAGAAAAGGCGGCCCTAAGACACGCCTCCTCCGTTCTCCGCGACCAAGCGGAGTCTTTTTCCCTACTTTGGCCTACAAGAAAATAGGCGGGAATTGACAAATCCCGTTAAGCCACAACTAGGGAGTGTAGTGCCCGGCTGCAAAGACAAAATGGAAAAGCGGCCTCTCAAAGGCCAGAACGGGAAAAATACTAAGGTCTTTTTCCCCCCATTCTGGAAGGGTGGGGGAAAGGCAGTAAAGGGAACTCTCAGAGAAGCCTCCCGTTTCGCCCCCTACCCTGGGGCGGGGCAGTAGGGCGTAGAGTTGTCTGGGGATCCCCGGGGAGGAAGCGGAAGGCTCGTTCAAAGTCCCACCGTACCCCGGTTACCCTTCACCAGAAAAGAAGCCTGCCGTTAGAAGGTCCCGCCCACGGGGGATGGGCTCCGGATCCGGCCCTGGTAGGTGGGGAGCAGCGGACGAGCCCAAACGCAGAGCCAATCCCGCCACAGTCCTTAATTGCATGCACCTAAGATGGCGGCCCATCACGCAGAAGCGGGGCGGAAACGAGCCCCTCTAGCTAGGCACCCGAGCCTGCACTCTTTGGTACGGCCGCCGAACTTCCGGCGGTAAAATCCGTGGTCTCCCGCCGCCGGCCGGGCATGCGTAACTGCCGACCGCTAGAGGGAAAGAACGGCGCTTGCGCGTTACCCCAGGGGTGTGTCTCCAGTGGCTGCAGAGGAGGGGTTGGGCAGTTGGACGAAAGAGCTACTTGGCGCCTGCGTAGTACTATGTTTAAGGCGGTTTTGAGTTGAATTATCTGGCGCATCTAGAAGGCGCCTGCGTATTCCTTCCGCTGGAGGTGGTGTCAAATCAGGAGAGTGGGCGTGGTTTATAAGACGCCTGCGCAATGCCTCCTCAAGGGGGGTGGGGCTAGACCCGAGCCGGAGTTAGGGGCGTGGTCTCAGGAGCGCCTGCGCGGAGGCGGTTGGAGGGCGGCCCGATTCCCCTTTGTTCGAGTTCGCCATTTTGCGAGGCAGCGGCAGTGGCGGCGGCAGCGGTGGCTGGAGCCTCTGATTGGGTTTCGGGGTCCGGTACTGGAGCCAATCAGCGCGGGCAGCGAACCGGGGGAGCGAGGCACGGTGAGTGTGAGGAGCCAATATCCAGCGGCCCAGAGCCGGCCCCAGCGCCCCGATTGGCGGGTCTCGCTGACCACTCAGGAGAGGCCCAGGCGCCCGTCGAGCCCGGGGAGTCGAGCTGAGCCTAGCCGAGTAGGGTGGCCTGCGGCCCCGGCCCAAAGCCTGCGAGGACCGCAGGGCACTCCCGGCCGAGGCCTGCAGGGGGCCGCGCCGCGCGGGAATGACGCCCCGGGGAACAGGCATTTCGGGGTCCAGACCCTTGCAGGATGCCGGTGCCAGTTGGGGATGTATCTCCGCTCCCCCGACCTTTAGGCGCAGGTTCTCAAGCCCCAAGCTCGGCGGTGTTGAGCTTGCACGCCACAAATGCCCTTACACTCAGGTACACCGACGCGTCCTGCCCGGGCCTCGGCGGGCGCCTCCTGGTTGCTGGTGGTTCCGGCCGCACGCTTGCACCCGCCCTAGCGCTCCACGCTGCGGCCCTGGGGAAGGGAAATTCCCCCCGCGGTGCAGCGGGCCGCAGACCCAGTGGGCCGGCGGGTCTCTGCAGTCGTCCTGGATGAGGGAGCGAAAGCCAGGGGAACACGAACGCAGCGGACAAGTGCCGCTGGGAATGGGGCGGACTCGCCCATCCGTCGCCCGGAGCCGGGAGGGGGTCAGTTGGTGCGCCCACTCCGCAGCCCGGCCGCGCCCCTCCTCCCGGCGCGCCCGGCCCGGGTCTCCGGCTCCGCGCCGTTACCACCCCCTTTTGGCTCGTCATTTCCTCTTCTCCCCGCCCAGCTTGTCCGGGCAGAACCGCACACCTCGGTCTTGGAGCTCAACCAAGCGGTTTCTCTTCCTTGTCCTGGCTGTAAAGTCAATCATTCGGTGCCTGGAACCTAAACTCTTGCAAGATGACTAGTCCCGCGCATTTTTTTGCCCGGAGGCAGCACAACTTGCTTTTCTTATTATTAGTCTAATCTACTGCTCATCTTAAAAACTCCCTTCCGTGGGAATGTGCAGTTCATTTTGAGTATGTTAGCTCGATCCACGGCCATCTCTAATTTCTAGGATATTTTTCTCCCCAAAATACGTCTTCTAATCCCATTTTAACGTATTTTGAGATGTTTATAGAAGCTTAACAGTGTTATGGAATTTTCATTAGGGTGGGAGGAAATCTCCATTGATGTTGACAACTAAGTATGGCCACTTAGACTACCAGGCCCGGACACCGTCCTGGGGATGAAGTGGGTGAAGGTCAGTTTCTCTTTGGTAGTTGAATTACTAATTAATACCTAACGGTTAGTGCTTCAGTGCTGTCAAGTTCTGATGTGCATTACTACCAGCCTTAGAGGAAGGTTCAACAGTGCCACACTTTGGGCTTTCAAAGATTGCTTTGCTCTCAGATTGCTTTTATTTGATTTTTGTTAAGGCCAGTGGGGAGTGTAGGCTGGAAAACACAATTGGTAAAAAAGCATTGGTGTGTCTTGATTAAGATTTTTCTGAAGCGTTTATCTGTGATGGTTCAGAGAGAATAAATAAGGATGTAATTTTTGTTCTAAGGTTGAAAAGCAACTTTCTCACTTTGGGGTTCTGACCTGTAACTGTTTGACTTTGGGGAAAGAAAGGGCACTTTTTTCCCCTAGGACTTAAAAATAATTTTTATTCAGTCCCTGGCATTCAGGTCTTCAGTATATAATGATGCTTGTTTTTTGTTTTTTTTTTTTTAGATTTATTTATTTATGCATACAGAACTGGGATACAGGCCAGAAGTGCAGGGGTGGTGAGAGGCTTCATCAGAGAAAGAGTGGGGAGCAGAACAGGAGATGGAGGAAGTACACTGCTGAGGGGGAGCAGTCGGCAGGTCAGGAGAGGTCTGCCACACCATGTGGTCACCTCCCAGGCAGGGGATTGAACTCATGCTGAAGTGGCTCTAGCTTCTTAGTGCTGTGCTTTAAAACCACTGCACCACTAGGGAGGGCCTATATGATGCTTGTTTTTAATCACGTTTACTAAGGCTGAGTTTGGAACTAGTTTTCATTGTTGAAATCATTTTTCTTAAGTTCCTTTAACTCGTAGATTATGAGATAACATGATCAAGGTGTCCCCCAAAAAAGGCACAGTATCTTAACCGTGGTTTTTAAAAATAAGCATATCTGGTAACTTCAAAACCAACAAACATGTTTCTTAAACTTCTTTCCAAAAAGCAGTTCTAATCTAGTCACTTTATTAAACACCTTCTAATCTAGTCACTTTGTTAAACAGCTTACACCTTTCTGCAAAAGAATTTTGCCTGGAATTTTGAGAGTCAGCACTTGGCCTTCTCTTCACATGGGGATTTTCAGTCTGCTCTTCATAGACTGAAATTGTCTTATGTTATTATGCTCTTCATTTGGAGTACTTCCCCCTCCCCCAGTAACACACACACACAATTTCATATCCTTCTCACACTTAAGACCAGTTTCAGAGGAAACATTTTCCTAAAACCTTCCTTGAATTAGAAGAGATGTCTACTCAAGAAGAAATGTCTTTTCTCCAAACTCCCATATTACTTTCTTAGGGTTCCAATACAGTTTTTATGTCTTTACTAACTAAACTTAAAGACTCTTTGAAGTGAGGATCTTTGTTAGAGTTTTGTTTTATTTCTAAACCCTTCAGGACAGTGCATCCTGGTACATCATTAGTGAAGAGAAAGCATATTAGGAGGTCTAATTCAGAAACCTCAGATGATGGGGACAGCTGTTCTCTGGTATTATCTCAAACACAGATAAGGGCCTTTTTGTTGAGTTTTGATCTTAGTGGGCCATTTTAGCTGGTGATTTTTTTATAGTAGAAATTATCAAAGTGCATCTTCTATAAAGATAAGTATTTGAAACGTTTTTTTAACATGTTATGTATGCTGTTGAGGTTATGTTATGTATGAGCTATGGTCCAAAAGGCTTGAAAACTATTATTCTAGTCTTTGCCCAGTGCTTATTATCTATCTAATATGGCAAAGTATGACATACTTTTGCGTTTCAGCTTTAAAAAATGGTAGTTCCACATAGAATGGGTTCCTAGTAGTTGACTTCACTTCAGGTTCTACACTTGGGAGTGGGAGGAAGAGAATTTGTGTGTTTGCCAGACTAAACACTATCAGAAAAAGAAACTCAAAACTTCTAATTAGAAGCTAGAGCTAAACAGACTAAATCTGGCTGGCTTAATTCTGTTAAGACTGTTAGGCAGAGAAGCGCTTGAGGAAAGACACTATCAGATTGTATTGCAGTTTTGCTAACTGAAAGCTCACAGTAGTAGTAACAGTACAGTTTCCTCTGAAGCCAGTTGCTATAGCATTCACCATTAGCAGTCTCAGTATCATGCTACAATCAAACCGTCCCTCATTGCTCTTAGAAGTGAGGCTACTTCCTTTTTTACCTTTCACAGTATAGTGCATTTAAGTGTTCAAAATGTACATTTTTGTAATTAGCATAAATTAAGTATATCTGTATAATGTTGCCATTATTCCTATGCACTTTTGACTAAAATATAGTTTCTCGAAATTAGGGGTCAAAGAATAAGCCTCATACAGAAAGATTACAGCGGGAGATTTAAGATCGAAGATCTTTTTAAATCAGCTTTACTGAGGAAGGCTTTAATACTGGCATTTTGGTGTGTTTAACATCTCAATCCAACTATGTACCATCACTATCTGAAGATAAAAAACACTTTTATCACCCCAGAAGTTCCATATGTTCTATGCTAGTCAGCTTCCATTTTCTCTTCACCCCACTTTTTCATTTTGTGTAAATGAAATCGTATACTCTTCATGTTGTGACTTCTAATTCTTTAATTGTTACTAGTTTGGAAACATAAATGTATTGAGATAGAATAGATCCCCCCCCCCCCCAGCAGAGCCATGTAGTCTAATTAAAAACTAAATTTTCTATACTGTGCTAGAATGCTTTAGGAGCTGACTTAATCAGCCAATTCAGAAAAGACTGGTGTACAAATAGGAAAGCCAGTTGGCTGGTAAACAACAAAAAATAGCTGTTTACTTGTGTTGCTGATCATATATTTGCTGCCTGTTGGCTAACCCATATGTAAATCCAAATTGCAGCCAGTTATTTGCATTCTATTAGAGCATGATCTAATAAGTGGAAGAACCATGCGGTTATAGACCCCATGGTAGTATAATGGATAGATCTGTCATCCTGTGACATGTCTGGTTCTTAGATACTTGCACAATACACTATGTATTTCCCACATACAGCAAAGTTGGAAGAATTTTATGATAAATACCTATATACCTATTCCCTAAGATTTACCACTAGTATTGTACCATACTTGCCTTATAAGACATCGGTCCATCTCTCCACCCATCCATTCATCCATCCGTCTATCCTTTTTTTATGCATTTCAAAGTAAGTTCTAGACATCTGTATTTTTGTTCTTAAATAGCTGGACATGCACATTTATCTCTTATTTTGTTTATATGTACATACCTGCACCTGCCCTATAGTTTCAAGGCACAGGTATCTAATTATGTTCTTATTCCATACAACGGTTTCCACCTGTTAAAGTGTATGAGGAGCGTAAATTTGGTCTTTGGTTAGATATTTCATAATATTAAGGACAGAATTAGTGTTTTGTTTTTTGTTTTTTTGTGTGTTTTTTTTTTTTTTTGATGTTTGAAGTTATTTTGTGGAGACATGGAATTGTGATTGAATGGTAAAGACAACGATGTCTTCACTCTTTAGAGATTGATGATGAAATATTTCCAGATTTTTTAAAAAAACATGTTGCCTGGGATTTGCATCAAAATAATCCAGGAGTGAGTAAAAACTAGATGAAAAGTATATGTGAAACAGGACTGACCTAATTTGAAAACTGTTGAAGTTAGTTGATAATAGGTATTCATTACTTTGTTCTTACCACCTTTCTATATATTAGGAAATTGCCATAATAAAAAGATTATACCAGGATGGGCACTCAGATTCAAATCAAGAGAAAATTTAGTGTTTTTTTTTTTTTTTTTTTAAGATTTATTTATTTGTGCATACAGAACTGGGGTACAGGCCAGAGGTTCAGGGGCGGTGAGAGGCTTCACCAGAGACAGAGTGGGGAGCAGAACAGGCAGATCAACGAAGTACACTGCTGAGGGGAGCAGCGGGCAGGTCAGGAGAGGTCTGCCATGCCATGTGGTCACCCCCGGGGCAGGCGGGAATCGAACTCATGCGGAAGTGGCTTTAGTTTCTCAGTGCTGTGCTTTAACCCGCTGCGCCACCAGGGAGGGCCGAAAACTTAGTTTTTTTTTTAATGGATCATAGCCTCATGATTTATATATATATCATTTAATATTTTTCCTTTAACCTATCAATATCATTTTTGCCATTAGTATCATTCCCTTCATATTCCTTGTTCAGACTTCTCAGCTATCACTGAAGCTTTCTTAGCACAACTTGATGAGATTTTGATAAGAAAAATGTTTGACTTCAGATCTGGTAACTTGTTTATTTAATAAAAATCCTAAGGTTTTAAATTGCTTACTATATGTAGAGCAAATGTGTATTACAAATGAAAGATATTTTATTCCCTAAAGTACATGTGCAAACCAGAAAGCTCATTAATTGCCCTGTAACAAGTGATATTGTAGTATTTCTAAGGTAAAAGTGATGTCCTATCAGTGTTGAATGGTAAGTTTGCCAGTAAAATTGATAAAAAGCATCTTTTAAACATGTGGAATAGTGTCATGATTGTTATGTAATCTTAGTTTAAAATGATACTAACAAACATTTCCTATTTTGTATTCTTATAAAGTACTGTAATGCTGAGTTAAAATTTATCTGACAGGCCTTTAGTGACAGTCTCATTTTGTTTCTTTCCCATCCTTCCTAATAGGCACACACCTCACAGGCTTCTAGGATCTCCAGGTTGAAACTCATTGAGGATCAGAATCTAATTTGGAGGGGCCATGGAGCAGTATACAGCAAACAGCAATAGCTCAACAGAACAGATTGTTGTACAGGCTGGACAGATTCAGCAGCAGGTAAGGAAGTCAAACTGCTTCAAACAGCAATGGAGCTGCTAACAGCCACTCAGTTGGGGGTTGGGGGGTAGTTGTTTTTTGAAGATACCACATCTTGTAATTAATGAATTTGATGACTTTTGCTGAACTGGTTTCTGAAGATTGGATTTGTTGTGAGTGTGTGTATGTGTTTTCTCTATTCAGAACTCTAAATCCAGCTCGTGACCACTTAGAATTTGCTTTTCATGGGAGCCTGACTTAATAGTAAATTACCTGTTATCTTTCTAAAAATCAAAACACCTAGTCTGTTCTCCAGAGTAATTTTGGTCTTTCTCGGTTCAATTTTGTTGTTTCTCTTCTTGATTAAGGTAGTTCGTGATCTAGTAAGGCTTTGATCACAGTAGACAAATCAAGGTAATGTCCAATAAATCCACTATTCTGTGATTTGATCCATTGTAGTGCTTATTCTTGAGAGTTCTAGCTTAACATGAGGCTATTTAGGTTACCATTCTTACAGATGCTAGTTAGAAAAGAGTTCTCTGTTGCTGGTTTACCCCTATGATTGGTTGCTTTATTGAATTTATACACAGCTTATATTTTCTGATGCTTTATACTGGCTTTAATACAATAAAGTTTGTTTTCTCCTGAGAAAAAAAATTATGTATTAATTTAACTTTAGGCCAAGATTGGAAGTGTTTTTGTTTTCAAAATGGAATGAAGTTGATATAAAATATTAGTTAGTATAAAATAGTAGTTAGTAAGTAGCCAAAGGAAGTTTCATTGTTGAGTTGTTCCTATCTAGAAATCAAAGGAAGGAGCTACTCTTGATTGAAAAGAGATTGTTTAAACTCCTTTCCTGGCTTTTTCTTTCACATACTTGCTATGACTGCTAATTTCCTTCATCCACCTTAGAAGAGATAGTTCCACAAAGGGCCCTCCATTTACACCATTGCTCGGTGGATGAATTTTTGTTCTGTCAGAACACTCCATTAGAGGGTATAATAGTTAAGTTGGTTCAGTGAAAACACTGGTTCTGATTAGCTTGGTTGAGAAGTAATCTTAGTTTTGACATATATGAGCAGTGACCTCCTGGAGATGTGGTTTACAGTGATTATTTATGGTGATTATATTTAGGACCCAGAATTCGTCGTTGTAGCTTAAAGGCTTTTAGAAACTGATAACTTTGTTGTATGAACTCACTTAAAGAAATATAAAAGACCATTAAAATACCTGAACAGAAGGATCAAATGTCAATTTCTGGAGGAAAGGACTTGATGTGTTAACGATGACAACTATTTTTGATGTTTCTGACTCACTGAAGTGTATGCTTTGAGTCCCACTCTATTTTAATCCTATTACCTTCAAGGTATAGGGAGTCTGTACAGTTTGAAAGTCCTGTGTAGGGTGGGATTGTTGAAAGAAGACTCCCACAAGAGGTAAGGTAATCTCATGTCTTGAACTATACGTTTCCTCCTGACACATTTCAAGCTCTTCCTATTCCTGTTCTCAGCAGCAGGGTGGTGTCACTGCTGTGCAGCTGCAGACTGAGGCCCAGGTGGCATCCGCCTCAGGCCAGCAAGTCCAGACCCTCCAGGTAGTGGTGCTCTCTCTGACTCTTTGTAAGCACTGCATGAACGTCTCCTCTCATGTCTGGTGCTATTTGTGGTAGGATCTGAAAGAGGAATGGCAAGTCAGTTGCATGTCTCTGATGCTGCTTAACTTATCTTTGAGCCTTACTAGCTACCAGTTTCTTAATGGTTTGTGCTAAGTCATATAGTGATCCCAGTATCAGTTTTCTGAAGACTACATTTTGCTAGTGTATTTCTTTGGGAATGCCTAGTATAAGTACAGAAAAAGCTCTTATTAGTGTCTATTCAAAGCTCAAATTCTATAATCAGATTGCATGGCAAAATTTCATGGATTTCTATAGTAGAAAAAATAACACATGACATAGACGAGATTGTGATTTATTTTTATGTAAAGGGCAGCTCACCTGTAAAACAATCGTATTTGACAGGGCTTATTTAGTCATTGAATCTTGTTAATCTCTTAGTGCTGCCTTTTTTCTACTGGTCCTGGGGACTCATCTTATTACTACATCTACATAGATTAACCCTTCTCACTTGGTTATGCACTGGCGGGTATGCTTAGGTATAACTACTGTAAGAATTCTTATTTAACCAGTGCTATTCCCTAGTACTGTGTATGGTCAAGTTAAGTAGTCCCAAATTGGGGTTACATTGGAGCAGTTCCTTTATTTAATAAATAGTTGTGGAAATGTAGCTATCCTTTAGTTTATTTGTTTTTTCTGTGTTTATTTTGACAAGCATGACCAGATTTTTGAGTAATTACAAGATTTGAACGCCCTATCATTTTTTCCTTCATGAAATAGAAATGATTCAGACAGGACCTAGAATGTGGAGCTGGCATCTCACCTTATTACTAGTGTTCCTAAGCATCCTGAAGTAGCTGCCTCTGTTGTGGTCATTTACTTTGTCCTTTCGGCCTCATTTCTATACCTGCTATCCATAGTATTTGATGATGAGACATAGCCAGTCCAAGTATAAATTAGGCTTAAAGAAACAGAGCTTCTCAAACTGTATTTGAATCTCAGCATTCAACAGCTTGTTTTTTATGCTTGCTTCATCTTACTGATCTATTAAAACAGTATTGTCATTAACCACTTGTTAATGGGAATGCAATATGCTCTTAACTGTATGGCTTCTTGTCTGATGCATGTGTCTTTGTAATCATTCATATATTGTGAACATACAGGACTCCTTGGAGTCTAAAATGGCTTATCGTATATATTTATGACATGTCGATGAAGGAAGAAGTTGATGGTGGAGAGTCAGAAAATTATTTGTTGTTAATTGTGCCTTAAAACGCGTGTTTCCTACCTGGAAATTTTATTTGAAAGAAAAGGGAAACCTTTATGAAGTATTAGAAACTTTCCTTTAGAGGAATCATTTTAGAGAATTTTAAATAATTCTTTTTTTTTTATTTATGCATTATGTATTCTGAAAATTTTTCCCTGATGGAGAATATATGTAAACATTAGTGTAGAAAAGAAAATTTGATATGGGATGGGGAAATGAGGAAAGGAGAAAGCATTGGCTTGGTAGTTTTTTAAAAGGTGAGATCTCAATGACCTGTTAGCAAAACCTAGAATTCTTATATTCATGAAGATTCTGGTGCAGGTGGTGGAGGAGGAGAGTATCTTATCTGTGTAAGACAGGTTGATCTTTTGTTACAGTTATTTTACATGTTTTTATTGACATTTAGAATGATTTGTTTATATGAAGATTCTTTTATTCTATTAAAAATCTTCAACAATTTTAAAAATAAATGTTTTGGACTGTTAACTATTCTGTTGAACATTCCATTCCATTTCTAAAGTGTCTTGCTTTGGTTTCTTGAGAGCATTCTATCAGTTAGGTGTTGTTACAGTGGAACCCAAGATACCACAGCGCACATGTAACTCCCTGGCTTCTGGAATATTCTGTTCATAGAATAGATATATTCAAATACAGATATTTGAAGACAGTAACACGAGGATGAGGTCTTGAGATCGTATTTTCTTAAGATCTCTCCTGCTTTTCCCCTTCCCCACCTCAGCAGGACAACAAAATAGTTCTGTCAATTGTCTATTGTTAAAAACCATTGTGTGTCCTGTGTTGTTTCATTGTTCTTTTGTTGTTTTATTCTAGGTCCAGGGGCAGCCATTAATGGTACAGGTCAGTGGAGGCCAATTAATCACATCAACTGGTCAGCCCATCATGGTCCAGGCTGTCCCTGGTGGACAAGGCCAAACCATTATGCAAGTACCTGTATCTGGGACACAGGGTTTACAGCAGGTGAGTGATAGAAAAAATTCTAAGCAGCGTGTCAGAATAGAGATTTTAAAGAAAGATTTACTAACAACTGCTTGAAAATTGGTGTGTTTAATTATTGTCTACCCTCTTTTTACATTTATAGCTGATTTTTCACTTTACAGAACTTGGACATCTCTAGTGAGGACTAAGCTCATACAAATTTTAAAAGTTGTGTTAACTAGCAAATAATAAAAAAAATATTTCAGTCCAAACCCATCTCTCACATACCTGCAGCTGTACTTAGAACAAAATTTATTACCTTAAACAGCTAACAAGCGTAGAAGGGTAACTGAAGTTCATTCTTTAACTGAATAAACAAAGTAGTTAAATCTACTAGAAAGACTGAGAAATAGAAAACAAGGTAAACAAGATAGCAGTAGAAGTAAAAGAAGCATGTAGGAATGTTCCATGAGGCTTGTATCAAATTTTTAAGTTAGAGGACTTATCAAGTTGGTATAACTGAAAGAATGATTATATCCACTGCCACTAGGGTTGTGGAGTAAGGAAACATCTATTAGTTTTGGTAATCTCAAATTCAGAAGTCATTTTAGTAGAAAGGCATCTCACTACTAAATATATAAACCTTTTATTCACATCACTTCCAAGAATCCTGTATGAAGAGAAGGATGGATGTAAGGGGAGAAATGTACAAAGACGTTATTAACAAGAATGAGGAAATTGTTGACTCATACTATATTCATAACGTAAAACGATGTCACTGTTAAAAAAGGATGTCGACATGGTAGGTGGTCAGTATTGAACTATTTTTTGTGAAAAAATAGAGGAATTCTGTCTTTGTAATTAATAGCCAAAACCCACACCCAACCCCCCACGTATATGTAGAGCTATATTTCGCTTTTGTTTGTGCAGTGACATTGATCACATTAATATCCTAGTTTCTCTGGAACAATGTAATATAATTTGAAATAAATCAATCATAATTATAATGCTTGATAAATCTCATTTTTGTTTAGCCACTTATATTCTTTTGTATATGCTTTTGGGGCACACTTATACCAAATATGTACTTTTGGTTTGGGATTGGTTGTTTTGGTTTTGCTTTGTTTTATTTACTTTCCCTAATTTAACTTAATCCCACATTTTCTTATTTTTAATTTCTTCATCATTCCATCACATGTGATGAATCAAAATTTACAAAGTGTATTTGTGGTTAGGGTTTTTTGTTGCTTTTGTTGTTCTGCTTTTATAGATAACGTTATTGTAAATTGTGTTTGACTGTGATAGTTCTAGTTTTCATTTGAATTCTTACGGAATTTTTTTCTTTTGTGAAGTAAGGGAAGTGCTTGAGCAAAAAGTATAAGCAGTTTTAAACCTATTAACATATTTTTCCAAGATAGAGTTATAATTAGGATTAAAGATAATTTGGGATTTCTCCATCCATAAATGTATGAGACTTTAAATTCATTTCACACTGGTCCTTCAACTCTGTCCTCATTTTCTCTAGTCTTTCTTGCTATGTCTTCTCTACAGTGTAGTCATTCACATAGTGAGCCATCATTCATTGTAACATACTCAAACATAGTGAGTGTAGTGATCTGGCTATATTACCAGGTCTGCTTCTTGATCTTGGCCAAGTAATTTAATTGTTGGTTTTCACTTCTGAAAATTCAGTTTATATTAGAAGATTTCTAGGGTTTATTTCAGTTTTAGAGTCTATAATTTTATGGGTTTTTTTCCTGTGTTTTTGTTTGTTTGGGCGAGTGAAGGGATTTGTTTGTTTGACCTTTAAAGAGACTTTGCAGGTTTATTTTATTCCTTCTCTCTTATTAAGACTAACTAGAACTGTGCTAGAATAATTAAAAGAACTGAAGCAAATATGGTTAGTCTTTAAAATGTTCAGGCGTTAAATCTGAATGGTGATGCAAGGGATATATAATATGATTGTCTCAAGTTTTCTGTAAGGATTTTGCATGTACATTTTTATAAAGTTCCAACTTGGAGTTAGAAAAATTGGAAGTTCTGTTTTTCAACATTTTGGTAATAAAAAACTTGAAACAAAAACAAGGAGAATGGTATGATGAATCCCCATCATCCCACTATAGTAGTTATCAACATATAATGTCTTCTCCCTAGTTTCATCTCTTCCCCTACTCTCTCAAGGCTTATGTTAGAATACTTAGTATCTTTTAAACTGCAAAATTACTGTAGGTTGCTTCTTTTAAGTGAAATTAAACAGTACATAACTCTGCCAGCACTATCTTAATTATCTCGAATTTATAATAGAGTACAGAACCAGGCTTTGTCTTTTTTCTTCTTCAGAGCATTTCCTGCTTCCTAATCCAAGTTCTAAGGACCAAATTAAACCAGTATCAGCAAGACACCTTACTTTGTGTTTTCTTCACAGATACAATTGGTCCCACCTGGACAGATCCAGATCCAGGGTGGGCAGGCTGTGCAGGTGCAGGGCCAGCAGGGCCAGACACAGCAGATCATCATCCAGCAGCCCCAGACAGCCGTGACCGCTGGCCAGACTCAGGTAATTCCACTTGCTCTGTCATCCCAGCGACACAACTGATTAGGAAGAGTCAGCCAGTTGAGACAAATACTTCACATGTAGTAGAAATGGGAAAGAAAACATTTTAAATGTTTCCCCCAATGGTGCATTTCTTTGTGGTGGCTTTGGGGTTCTGTTAAATTCTGTCGTTTCTTTCTTACAGACTCAGCAGCAGATAGCTGTGCAGGGGCAGCAGGTGGCACAAACTGCTGAAGGGCAGACCATCGTCTATCAGCCAGTTAATGCAGATGGCACTATTCTCCAGCAAGGTAAGTGTGTACATTTGTTTCTGGGGAACTTCTTGGTGCATCTTTTTTTTTCATCTGTTGAGCAAATAACTACTTGGTAAATTTTGACCTCTACATGACCTATTTTGTACAGATAAAGATTTCCTCTATAAATTTCCATGAATTAATTTCTTTTCTCACCAGTATAGAACCAACATTGATTCTGTTTCCGTATGTAGGAGTTCCTGTGGTAGTTATTCAAAGTCTGATCCTCAGGATTATGTAAGCTTTCTGGAAAGAAATGTTTCTAGATCAAAGATAGGAAAAATGGAACTTCTTTACAGTGGTAGGACAAAGTATATAGATGTAGTCAGACTCACTCAGAAAATAAGTTCTCCAACTTTTTTCAACACCCATTGAAAAATTTACTGGGGTGCCCAGGAATTATCCATGTCACGATTCAAGAGTGGATTAAGAACTAGAACCCAGACGGTTAATAAACTTTCACAAATTGTAATTTTCTGGTTGTGTTTAGCAAGCCGGGCTATACATGTGGGCGAGTGCCCTTCTCCTCACTTCTCATGCTGTCTGCTGGCATGTTTCAGCAGGGTGAATGTATGTGTGCCAGATAGAAGAGGGACTAACGGTGTTCCCTTCTTTCTGTGTACCTGTTTTTTTTGTTTGTTTGTTTTATGTTTATTTTCTTAAAGTTACAGTCCCTGTTTCAGGCATGATCACCATCCCAGCAGCCAGTTTGGCAGGAGCACAGATTGTTCAAACAGGAGCCAACACTAACACAACCAGCAGTGGACAAGGGACGGTCACTGTGACGCTGCCAGTGGCAGGCAATGTCGTCAATTCGGGAGGAATGGTCATGGTAAGAAAATTGACTTTTCAGTTCACTGTTCTTGTCTATAATTTATTTTTCCATTATCTGTCTTTGAAAATTTTTCAAGTTTTCAATTTGATGTGACTTAATAAGGTTTGCTTATAAATTGACATTGGCCCTTAAGGCAGTTACAGGGACCTGCTTTTACAAAACACCTTTTACTCAATGAGACATTCTAAGCACCTACTGTGTTCCAGGGACTATTCTAGTAGGTGGACTTACAGTGGTATTTAAACATGTAAATACCTGCTTTTATGTGACCTTATTCAGAATTCAAATAGAGAAAGTACAGATAAAATACTAATCATGGGGAAGTGGAATATATATTGCTGATAGTGGGAGAAACAAACTAGTTTTAAAGATTGTAGTAGAGAAACCTAGAAATTTGTGGTATGAATATATTGGCAAGATACAGAGTGTTGGGTGATATGAGTGAAAGGTAAATCATGTCAAAGTAGGCTGTCTGTATATTGTGAAACTAGATGAAGTAAGAATGAGCAATAGAAATCTGACCATAGTTGGGAGAAGCTACCAGAACAAACCAGCCTTTCACAGTTGTTAGTTAGGAAAGAAGGTGGAGTACAATAGTTCACCACCTATTCCTCAGAAATCTAGTGCAGTGTTTTGCTTTTGTGATTTGTTTTTTGTTTGGTTTTTTTTTTTGTTTTTTTAAAGAAAAGCAGGATTGTGTTATAGTAAATTGGCTAAATTATGTAACTGTGGGCATTTAGTGGCATTTTGAACAGATACCCTAGAAAGTAGATATCCCTAGAAAAGATATCCCATGGATGGACACAAATTTGAACCTTCACAATGATAAAACCTTGTATTTTCTCATGTGACTCTCATGATAGAATCATGTGGAATATGTGTTTAAAATACAGACCAGTCGTAAATGCAGGAATCTGCATTTTATTTAGTGTCATTTAAAAGCTACCATTTGTAGCATTCATAAAAAAATAGATTAATAGGGAGCAAGAAATTGCTTATTGTGTCTCCAGTCAGTCATGCCACTCTTTTGTTTTTTTCCTTATGCATATGAGAACTGGGGTTTAGGCCAGAGGTGCGGGAAGTGAGAGGATTCACCAGTGACAGAGTGGGGGGGCAGAACAGGCAGATTGACAGAAATACAGTGCTGAGGAGAGCAGCAGGCGAGACAGGACAAGTCTGGTGTGCCATATGGGTTAGCTCCCTGGCCAGGGATTGAACTCATGTTGCAGTGACTAGCAATAACTTGAATAGCATGTGCCACTCTTTAAAGCTTGGATTTTGTCTGCACACAGATGGTGCCTGGTGCTGGCTCAGTACCTGCTATCCAGAGAATCCCTCTACCTGGAGCAGAGATGCTCGAAGAAGAGCCTCTCTATGTCAACGCCAAGCAGTACCACCGAATACTTAAGAGAAGACAAGCCAGAGCTAAACTAGAGGCAGAAGGGAAAATTCCAAAGGAAAGGAGGGTATGTGTAACATTGGTATTAGAGCAGAGTTCTGCCTCAATACTCTAATTTTTTTTTTCTTTTTCATTAAGGAACTTTCAAGAAGTATTATAGATCTCATCAGTCAGAATTAAACTGCATGGCCACACTGAATTAGCAAGGAAGGCTAAGAAATGCAGTCTTCCTAGCGAGCAGCCAGCCATATGTGATTAGATACTGTCTGGTGTTTGTTCCAAAGCTTTCTCTGTAAATCAATCATAATTTCCTCTGGTAGCTGTGATCACTGCTGTCCTAAACTTTTAAAGCATTGGGTAAAATGTTAGTTTCAACTAATAGGTGAATGGTTTTTGTCTTACTTTAGAAATACCTTCACGAGTCTCGACACCGTCATGCCATGGCACGGAAGCGTGGTGAAGGGGGACGATTTTTCTCTCCAAAAGAAAAGGATAGTCCCCATATGCAGGTAAAAAGATTTACACTTTTTGTTTTTATTGGGGAGAAGTGTCCTTTTGCTATTTTACAAAATAGTAGTAGTCCCTTGCTATTTGCTAGGGACTAATTGCATTCTCTAAATTAGATGCAACTTGTATTTTTTAGATTCCCTTGCATCTTAAAAGCACTACTGATCTTTAATCCAGTGGTGTTTCTTCCCCCACAGTTTGTGCCAGTTACTACTGTTTCTTCTTGATTTCGAAGAACTAGTTTTATTGTCCTTTAATGTAATAACAGCAGCTGACACTGTTGTGTGTCGGCCATTGTAGAAGTACTTTTAGCTGCTTTTTTCTTTCCTCATTAAATGTACTCTTTCAGCTACTATACAATACTTACTCTTACATTTAATTCCACTGATTATATCTTACCAACATTTCTGAGTCAGTATGTCCAAAGTAGAACTCTGTTTTTTTAATGCCTGAATTAGTCACTCATCTCAAAAAAGAGCATGTCCATGTACCCAGGTGCTAAGGCTGAAATTGTACAAATCTTGAAGTGCTCCTCTTGATATTACCTCTAAAATATAACTTGAGTCAATTTACTTCTTTCCCACCAACTACTGTTGTCTGCCTTACCTAATCCTTTCCTTCTGTTTGAATTAATGTACCGGCTTCCTCCTGGACTCCTCTCTGTTCCCCTCTGGTCCGTTCTCTGCCTTGCATGTGACGGGAGCCGCGTGCAATCCAGCTTGAGCCCCTCCCACCCTTGCCCTTCCACATTGCACTTGGAATAAAATCCATGCCATTTTAAGTCCCTATGTGATCTAGCTTCACCTATCTTCTGGCTTCTTACTTTGTTACTTGGTCTTTACTCTGCTATTCATAGGTCTTTCTTGTTAAACTGTTAGGGCTTTCTGTTGCCACTAGGACCTTTGTGTTTAAAATAATGTGCAAAGCTTTTCACTTCCATTTTTTGCATAGCCATTTCCTTCTTTTAGGCCTTAGTTTCAGACAGTGGGGCTGTCCCTAGTCCACTCTATCCAAAGTAGGTATCACATGTTTATATAGTGCCGGTCTCCTTCCCTACACTATACGCTGTATAGGGAGTAGGTCATTTTACTCTCCATTGTATTTGTTGGGCTTAGTATAATGGCCAGTGCAGAACAGACACTTGGTATAAATATTTGTTGAATTAAAATGAATTTTTCCCACTTAAACTTATTCCTGCCTGCAGCCAACGAGTGCCCTCCTTTCTCATCATTCATTCATGCACTATATAGATCCAGAGTGCCAGCTATGAGCACTGAGCCAGAACGCCACTCATTCTGTATGCTAACAATATGACCTCTGTCAGGTTACTTTTAGCCTCTTTTACCCTCCATTTCTTCATATGTAAACTGGTGATACTGCACCAGGAATGTTGTGAAAATTCACACAGTGAGCCAGACCTAGTACATTATGAGAGCTTGATAAATACTAGTAACTGTTCTGCTCATTGATCAAGACCTATCTCCCTGCCTTTTCAGAAATCTTTCAGCTTTTTTAGGCTTCAAAGATTCAAAGTTACTGCAGGTGTTTATTTTGGAGTGTTACAAAAGCTTCCAAGGCCTTACCTCTGCAAGTTCTGAGAGCCAGCATATGGGGCTTAGTGGAAAGAAGAGTAAATAGAACCACACGATTAAAGTTAGTCTTTCCTGGACTCCTCATTAATAACTATTTGTCTCTAGTCCAGGCTTTACGTCTTTGGTTTTCTCTGCATTAAAGTAAATCGATTCTAGTGTCCTTTCTAGACCCATAAATGTTTAGTGCTTAAAAAGAAATGATCTGAAAATGAAAACAACGAAAAATACAACTTAACAATTGAGTTTTTCTTAGCCATGTAAGTACTCTTAAACCTAAAAGGTAGAGCATAAGGTCTTCTGGAAAGAACATAGCTGCTTAAGAAACAGATAAGACTGTCATCTCTGTTATTTGGTATGGAGGACAAGCCAGACTTTCAATCATTTTAAGGAAAAAACATACCTGCAGCCTAGAGTTACTATTTTAGGCCTTTCGTATACTTTGCAAAGTCTTGTGAATTCCCTTCATGAGGTATGAGTTCCCTGTTGGCTTTTGCAAATAATATTAATCATCTCTGTGATTTGTTTGTGTCGAGGATCCAAACCAAGCAGATGAAGAAGCAATGACACAGATCATCCGAGTGTCCTAACCCCAGGATGTGTGATGGAGCTGATCACGGTCATGTTCCTTACCACTGCTTCCCACTGTTCCAGGAAACTGATCAACTCTTCCGATGGGACACTGATGGTCTCATTCTGCCCTTTTCTACAGGACAGAAACCACTTAGTTTTTAATAAGTGGCTCAGTATTATAATCGCAGCGATGTCTGGCAAATTGAAGTTGCAAGCCCTTGTCTCACCCTTTGAGTCAGGACCTATTTCAGACTGTCGATGATACTGACATTTCATGGATTAGGATCCATGCCAGCCCAGCAGTGCCACATACAGCACTTACACGTTGACTGGTAAAACCAGCCAACCGTCTCAGCAGGGGAGAACAACCTCAACCTAAACTGCAATCAGGGAAGCCACAGCCTATCCCTTCCCATGGAATCTAAACGGCATCCATCCCTCTGATGGGGCTCTCAGGCTGACTAACTAAATGGACACTTTGTATTCAGAGATGGCTTCCAGACAAGGAAGTTCCATCTTATGATATGAAAACAATAAATTATCTGAGATACAGTCATCTAATCTGTGGTATCAGAATCTGCCCAGATGAGAGGTTGGTATTTTTGGACACCAGCCAAGAAAATGCTAACTTTGGGGATAGAATGATAAAAGACTGAAGCACTAAAAATATAAATTGCTGAGAATCTTTTTTTAACTTTGACAAGTGGTGGTCCGTCTGTTGACAGGTCATATGGACCATAGTTCTTACCATGGCAACTTTCAAGATAATTAGAGATCTTGAAACTGCCTTTCCTAACTAGAGAACAAAATTTAACTTCTGTGTCGAAGTACTGAGGACGTTTTGTAGTAGTAACTCCTAAACAGAGAGCCAAAGTAGAAATTTTCAATCATAGGCATTATGACAGCATTTGGGGAATAGACGGGTTCCTGTGTGATTCAGTCTAGAAGAGAGAATTGTATTTGTTAAAGCTATGTTGTCATAAAGCATGATTTTCCAGTGGATGAATGTCTAGAATGGATTGTTAAGATGAAGAGGATAATTTATATGATAACCTTTGTACAAGTATGGAAAGGGAGAAGTCTAAGATTTGGTTCTTGACAATTTCTGGAACTGAACATATTCCAAAAGCTGTCCTGAACATATTCCAGGTCACCTGCTACGAGTTGAAGGTAGATGGCTTCACTCCTGCAGTGCTTTGTGCTGGCTGGCCTCAGCGAACCAGTTTCCATGTGTTTCCACTTTCCTCTACTGGCTTTGTGCAGAAAGGTTTCCACTTGCCATCCACATTCTGGGGATAAACTGCAGACCAGAAATAGAGATGCCTGCAGGGTCAGAACTGGGCCACAGTTCCCAGAATCGGTTGTGCCTCAAACATCTGTTCCAGATGTTGAACCTTGGAAGAACTAAGATGATATTTTAAATGAGTTGCTGCCTTCTCTGGAAACAGAAGGAAACCTAACCTCTTTGATGAACATTTGGGTTTAATTTAAATACCAAGAGTAAAAATTCGCTCACTCTTTTGATTTTACTCTAGTTTGTATTAAAAGGAAAGAAATCTGCTAAAGAAAATGTCACAGAGGGAAATCATTGTAATGGTAAAAATAGAAGAATGGAGTATGCGGAGGAAGCTGGAAGTGAAGGTTTCTTCCTGGAAACTGGTCATCTGTCCTGGCTTCTAGATGTCAGGAGGGGCCAGTGACCTTTTGTAGGCTCACTGGAAATTTCTGATTCTATGTGAGTTTGAGATAACTTTATCCAGTAAGTCCTATGTTTTTCAGATGATAGATTACTAAAAACAATGAGGATTGAGAAATTTTTAAACCCCTTGGTTTGTTTTAGTATTTGAGAGTTCAGAAAGAAATTCTTCATACCTAATTTCTAGTTCTTAAGTCAACAACAGTTCTTAAATGCTATTTATTTGTGTAAGTTTGTACATAGTAATACCAACCTCATAATGTAGAAGAATATATATTTTTTTTCATGAGTTTGATTTTCGTTTTTGCAATGAAATGCTTCTGTTGCATTTCAGATAGCCTATGGCCCTTTTATTGTGGTCATTTTTTAGCACACCATTATAACCCACAAAGTAGAGATTTAGGATTTGGATTTTTCTTTTGTTTTGAGTTCTTTTATTCATTTGTCCTTGTGACTGTAGTGATGCCTTCATAGAGAAAGAGTGAATGGATTAGAGAATAATTGTTTAATGCATAGTTATTTCACTTCTTGAATGCTTTTTTTAATGGATAATTGTAAATGTATATATTTTAATTGCATTGGTGCATTGAACATTTTCATTTCTATACCATTGGACCAACAGAATTATTTCTGGCTATTGGGTGCCTGATAATAATGTCTTGATTTTCCTTTGGGACTCAACTATATATATCTATATATATATAGGTTTTCCCTCCACTCGTAGGGGGAGTACAGGTGATGGATCATTGATGTCATTGCAATTGTTATTTTTTAAAATAAATATAAAATACTAAAAACATGTCTGCATCCTCTGTGTTGTGGGTTGTATTATAACAACACTTCAAATCTAGTATCCAGGCCTTCTATCACCTTTGTCTTCCTACTTAAAATTGTTTTCTGTCACCTGGGTTGATTTGATCGTTCTGCTATTAAATGTTAATCAAAATGTGATTACATGAGTAAAATTGGCCCTTTCCTTAATGATCACCAAAACACTCTTGATTGGGGCCCTCCCAAGTGGCGCAGGAGGGTTAAAGCCCAGAGCTGTGAAGCCAACCAGCCCCAGCTACTCAAGGTTCCATTCCAAGCCAGGGAATTGACCCACATAGCGCAACAGACTTATATTTCCCCAGTCCACTGCTCCCCTCAGCAGTCCTGCCTGTCCTGCTGCACCCCACTCTGGTGAATCCTCTCACCGCCCTTGCTCCTTTGTCTTGTACTCCAGTTCTGTATGCATAAATAAATCTTAAAAAATAAAAAAGACGCCCTTGATTTTATTAGGCCTTTGGAAATACAGTGGAGACCTAATTTTTAGATTTTTTTTTTCCTGCAAGAAACAAAAACACTCAGATTATTAAAATCAACATGCTCATTTTATAGTCTATGAATCTGGGCAGCAAAGACTTCAACTTCAAACGTGCCATTGTCCACGGCACACAACAAAAATAGAAGAAAACCTTCTCTAACAAAGACAAAGTAGCCGCCTTAAGCCTGACTATGAGTTTTGAGACCATCTTTATTTTTGCTTTTTTTAGTTAGATGCTAATGAACTTGTAAGTTGAGTGGCCCAGGTTTCTACTCCGGTGTATGAGGCAGTCACCTCATTGCCACCGGTTTTATCACTGGTTTTATCATAGAAGGTAAATGCCAAGATCACCGGTTTTATCAGAGAAGAGTGTTCACCAAATTCGGGGAAATTACATTTGAACCAGCCTCCCTGCCTCGTTGCCGCCCCTCCCCGCCGGAAACCAGCGCCAGGTCGACGGGACTGACAGGCGGTGGGCAGCACCCGGCAGCCTTTGATTGGCTCGGCCCACCAAGGGGCCCACACTGATTGGTTAGTGGGAGGGCCCAACAGGGGCCGTTGATGCGGATTGGTTGCTAGGCAGTGGGCCCCTCCTTCCGGTAGCTCGGCCCGCAACCCCCCCGCCGCCATGGCGAGCGGTGAGTGGGTAGTGGCGCCGCCGCTGTGGCCTGTGGAGGCCCGGTTGGCGGCGCTGCTCCCGGATCTGTTAGTCTTCAAGAAACCAGGGGGATCGGAACCCGAGCTCGCCACAGCCCAGGGCGTCCTCCTTGGCGTCCACGTGACGGGTGAGGGGCGGTGCTTCGCTCCCGGGCCCGGCAGGTGGGCGGCGGTTGGGCGTCAGCGCCCAGGACCGCGGCGGTTACGCCCCGGCTACCCGGCCCCTGCCGCGCCGTACACCTGCGCTACGCCTCGGCGCAGCCATCGATGAGCGCCCTTTACCGAGTAGAAGGACCTTGGGCGGGATCTGCGTGAGCCCTTGAGGTCACCTCAAAATGATGAATCGAGGCTCAGAAAGAGAAAGGCTTTTCCGAGGCCGCCTGGCAGGCGTTGAGTCCCAAGATTCCGCCTTGTCCCGAGCATTTCCCAGGAGGCTTTCTGCCTGGTGCAGTTGCTGCACCGCTTGGTTAATTCGTCCTTTGGGTCCATGCATTTGTGCCCTCTGGTGTTCTCGGAGTTAAGAGTCCAGCAGCTACTTTACTGATCCTTCATTTAACCACTATTTATGGAATTTGTGGCGTGATGATGACGATGAGCCCATATGAGCTCACCCCAAATTCTGCCTAAAGCTTTTATCTGTTCCTCTCTGTCACTCGGCGTCTATGGCTCACACAGAGGAGCCCCGTAGTTTGGCTTGTGAGTACTCACCATCTGCAACTCCTGGATTCATCTCTGTAATACGAGGCAGCTGTAACCAGCCCTCTTTTGAATACTTTTCTAGGTCACACCATTTCAAGGATAATGGAATTAACTCATTACAAAAAAATAATAAGGCCCAAAAGTTTAGGATTGCAGCTAACATGATTTTGCTTTGTTGGTCAGGGTTTACAGCATTAATGGACAGGTTCAATCTGACATGCAAGTCAGAAGATCACATGGACAAACTGGCCCACATCTTCAGTTACTACATTAGTGACATCGTGGAGCGTGAGTGACCATTAGAGGGGGGAAGGGAGGTTTGTTGTAACACCAGGGAGCCTGGAAACATTAAGAGTTCGTTCCTTTAGTGTCACCCATCTTTATTTCTTCAGACTGCCACTGACAAGCTGGATCTTTGCCTCATCTGCCATTTTACCCGGTTTGGCTGTGGTTTCAGTGTTCACAAGGGAGAATAGAGAGCTCTTTTCATTTTTTACTTTGCACGTTTGCATTTTCTTCAAAATGAAGTATTCCTCCCGTTGTCTCTTTTAACAGTAATGCGTCTTATGTGTGCATATCACATATACTTTATAACACAAAACACCTTCTCATTCCATTATTGTGTTTTGAATCTTGTGAGGCAGGTATGAATGTTTTCTTTATTTTTTGCCAAATGTTGAGTTTGTGGATATATTTGCCTTATCTGGTGGGAGGGAAATTTATTCGTGCAAACATGTTTCAAATAATAAATACTCTTGTGACACACAGACAATACTACTACCCAACCTGCACCCTTGAACAGTTAAATAACATTCTGACAGTGCCCAGTATTCTCTACATTTCTGAGATTCACCAGATACCTAGTGACATCACCTTTAGGAACATATTTGACTCACCCTTCGTCCCTGAAGAACAAGTATCAAAGTCCTCAATTTTTCTCATAAAGTTTAGTGAAAAAGGAAGACCAAAATTATGCATATTGTAACAACAGGAATTTCTGGATACTTGAAATACAGAGGAAAATAAGACAGGGTACCTGTCCTCATGGGGTTTCCATTTTAGTGGGAAAGACATAAGTAAACAAGGGGGCCCTCCCTGGTGGCACAGTGGATTAAAGCACAGCACTAAGAAGCTAAAGCCACTTCAGCATGAGTTCAGTCCCCACCCCTGAGGTGACCCACATGGTGTGGCAGACCTCTCCTGACCCGCTGCTCCCCTCAACAGTGTACTTAGTCAGCCTGTTCTACTCCCCACTTTGTCTCTGATGAATCCTCTCACTGCCCCTGGACCTCTGGCCTGTACCCCAGTTCTGTAAGCATAAATAAATCTTTAAAATAAATAAATCTTTAAAATAAATAAATCTTTAAATAAATGAGATGTCCGGGTAATTTGTGGGGTAACAATGGGGGTTTCTATATAGACCTATATAAATAGGAAGGTCATAGATTCCTCCTATAAGGTATTTAAGCAGAGAAGAAGGTGTTAAAAGATGAGAAGAATACCTTGTGAAAAGCTAGGGTAGAGTATTTCAGACAGAAGAATGCCAAATACAAAAGTCCTGAGATGGAAGAAATCTTGGTGATCTAGGGTCCAAGAAGGCCAGTGTGACTACAGTGTAGCTAGTAGTTGGAAGAATGGCTTAAAGTGAGGTTGGGAAGTATGAGGCTCTGTAGGCCGCGGTAAGAAATTTGAAAGGTTCTCACAGGGAAATAGTGTGACTTTTTTTGTTAACTGCCTTCTGGAGTTGGATGTAGATACTGACAGATAATAGGCAGTTATAATGGAAGCTGGAAGAGGCATTAAGAGCACTTATAGAGATATGAGATGGAGTTTGGTCTAGGGTACTGGTTGTACGTTAGATCACCACTGCAGAGCTTTTAAAAATCCTGATATCTAAGGTTTACCCCAGGCCAATTAAATCAGAATTTCTTGGGGATAAGCCTATTTTATAAAATTTGTACCAATGTTTGGTGATATATAGATATGGTAGTGATACTCTGTGTAGATGAATTGATTCGTTGTATCTTTTGGCAGGTTCAACACAATTTGTTGGTGTATTGAATTTCAATGTGAAAGAGTGGTGCTTTTGGGTTTTATAACTGAATTGATGGTGATGTCAATCGAAGTGTGTAAGACCAGACTTTTTTAAAAGATTTATTTTTATTATGCATACAAGAACTGGAGTAGGCCAGTGGTGCAGAGGGTGAAAGGATTTACCAGAGACAAGAGTGGGGGAACAGAACAGGTAGATCTACTGAAACATACCTGAGGGGAGCAGCAGGTGAGACAGGAGAGGTCTGTGCCATGCACAATGGCTGCAGATGGTTTAATAACACTGAGACTTTACTCCCTGCACCACTAGGGAAGCTCAAGACTGGGCTTGATATTTTATAATTTATTGAGTTTGAGGTGACAGTCATACATATAGAGAAGTGATTGGGCCTGGAGCTCAGAGAATAGATATCTGTTAGAGATTAAAATGTGAGTTGGTGGGATAAAAATACTACATAAAAAACTGAATCAGCATGGGGAGAGTATAAATAAAAAGAAAGAATATAATACTGGGTCTTGAGGAATTCTTAGGAAAAATTAACAATTAGGAAGAAAGCCTACAAAAAAGAAACTGAAGTGGCTAGTAAGGTAGGATATGGTGGTGTTCTTGTCAAAAGAGAAGTAGTGGCCTGAGAAGATGACGGCTGCAACCAGCTGGGTTGAAATTGAAAGATATCAAATAGTACAGCCCGAAACAGTGTATTTTGCTAGGTGAATGCTGTTGATGAGCTTGATCATTTCAGTGACATAGAGGGATGGTTGTTCAATTGGAGTAAGCTAAGAAGAGAATGGTGGAGAAAATACATGAGTGAATAGAATATGAGGAGAAATTTGTATCTAGCTGTTTCTTTTGAGAATATTTTTCTGCTATGCATATAGTTTAAAAATGGAACTATAACTAGAAAACATGGTAGATTAAGATTAGGTAGATTAGAGCTCTCCCTGGTGGCGCAACGTGTTAATGCACTGCATTGTTAAGTTCTGAAGCTCTCTTGAAGCTTGAGTTCTATCCCCAAGCAGGGAGCAGACCCACTCTGACCTGCCTTCTGCTCCTCTCAGCAGTGTACTTTGTCAATCTGCCTGTTCTGCTCTCCTGTCTGTCTCTGGTGAATCCTCTCACCCACCACACCTCTGGCCTGTACCCCAGTTCTGTAAGCATAAATAAATAAATCTTTAAAAAAAATAGGTAGATTAAATTTGTTGTGTTTTGTTTTTTAAGATATTGATGGAAATGAGAGAAGATGAAGAGAGAGTAAAGTTCTTGAGAGGTTGAATGGGGCTGGGCTCCAGAGTACAAGTAGGGGTCTACTTCTAGAGAATAGCAGTACTACTTCCATTTACAGTAGATAAATAAAGGTATGGAGGGCTTGAGAAGTAAACCTGAGGAAAAGAAGGAGGAACCTATGTCTTAAAATGAACAAATAGATCAGAAAAAAATGAAAGAAAAAACTCAGTTGGCTGTTCTTTTGGTCACATACAAGGTACATCTCGGATTTTTACTCACTCTTTTGTTTCTTATTCAATTTCAGATGTGCTGTGTTTTGGAGGAGATATCCTAAATATCACAGGTATCTTTCAGCTTTTTCTTCATATTTAGATTCACTGGAACTAAGGAAGACTATATTTAGGGGAAATTTGGCATATTTATTCAGCATTATTTAATATGTACTGGGTAAGAGGAAACAAAGAGAACAATATAGTCTCTGCCTCAGGATCTCTAGTCTGAGGGAAGGCTTGCCCATGTGCTTGCTCATGTGTGCTTTACATTTTGTAAAGACTGAAAGACAAGAAAATAAGTGCCTCTAAAGCACTTTCATGAAAACTAATGAGACACTTGGTCTTCAATAGCAGAAGCTAAGTAAGATAGGGAAGAGTCAAGAGTCTCCGATCTGGAGAACTCTTAGGATCGTTAAGCATGGTGTTACACAGAGTTGGCCTGTCTTTTCTTTTAAACTTAACTAAACCAATCATAAATTAGAGTTGGACTTGAAACTACATTTTGTGAACCTCTTTACTAGTACTACTCCCTTTCTGTTAGTATAACAATGGAGGGAAGATTACCAAAAAATATCTTCAGACAGTAGGGAACATTTCAACTTCTACCTAGTCGAGTTTTTATATGCTGTTTCCAAAGCTGTGAGCATCTTAACCTAGCAAAATGTATAGTGCCAACAATTGCCTGACATCTGCATTATTTGGGACTTTACCCTAGGCCAAGTGAGTTCAGGTGTTTGACCTTTAGCAACCTGTCTTGTATCACTGCAGGAAACGTGCTTCTGGCACTCTGGACAGTGGAACAGAATCAACTGAGTGACATCATTACCCTCGTGGCAAAATGCAGTCTGGAGATACAGGAGAAATTTGGGATCTATCATACCAGAGAAGGCCAGGATCTGCAGCTAAAGATAGGTAGTATCTACTAAAAGAGAGATCAAATTGGGAAGAAGGCGGATCCCCTATTTTAAAATTCAAAAAAAATCAATGAGAACCTGGGAAATACCATGTTCCAAAGGTGAACTTTTTTAAATTTAGTTAATGCATTAACAAGATTAATTTCTAAAAGAAAAAAGTGAGTAAGGAAATAAATGAATAGCACTTCTTTTTTAATGTAAAAAGTTGGTTAACTTCATATTAAGAAAATTGCCCATTGAAGGTGCATTAAGATCACTTCTCACCGGTGGATATGCAGAAATTCAGATGCCAACCACACAGTTAGTGGGGCTATGAGAAAAAAAAACTTTCTGGAAGCGTGCTGGTGAAAATCAACAGTGATATAACTTTTATGGAGGATTTAGTAATTTAGCAAGATTACAAATGCATGTATTCTTCAGCCCAGCAATTCCACTTTTACCCTACAGGTATACGTGTGTATATGTAAAATACCATAAATATAATTGATTTCAGTCTGGATTGTAATGAAAGGTTAAAAACAGTTCACCTGTAGTGACTAGTTAAATAATAAAGCATCTACTCAGTGAACTTATCTACCATTTGAAAAAAATAAAAAGATGTTATTATTGCAGTATCTCCAAAATGTGAGAGTGTAAGATGCAAGGGAAATAATTTTTTGTTTGTTTATGTTTGTATAAAGAAATTTAAGAAACAAAAATTACCTGTTAGAAGAAAATAGTATATATGGGAATTTAGGTGGAAGCAAGATTTTTTTTTTTAATTTTACTTTCTCTGTAATTGGACAATTTTTTTTTATTTTATAACAGTTTAGTTTTACATCATTTTGTACATTTTTTTCCATCTCAATTGTAATCCCCACGGGTTTCCCATCACCAAGTCACCCGTGTGCCATCACCATAATCCTGTGTACTTCCCTACCCCCCCATGTTTTTGATCCCATTCCCCACTCCACCCCCACAAAATGTCTCTGGTATATGGCTGTTCATTATTCTTGTTATTTTCTCACCTGATCCATTATACTCCTGCTATGAGTGAAACCATCCAGTATTTTCCTTTCTCTTTCTGGCTTATCTCATTAAGCATGATCTTTTCCAGCTCCATCCAAGTTGCTGCAAAAGACATGTGTTTCTCTTTTTTGGTTGCTGAGTAATACTCCATTGTATATATGTACCACATCTTTTTCAGTCATCTCCTTTTGGGCTGCTTCCATGTTTTTCCAATTGTAAAGAAAGCAGCAATAAATATGAGGGTGCAGGTATCTTTTTCAATCAGTGTTTTTGTGTCTTTTGGGTAGATACCTAGGAGTGGGATTGCTGGGTCGTAGGGAAGCTCCATGTTTAGCAGTTTGAGGAACCTCCAGACAGTTTTCCATAGTGGTTGTACTAGTTTGCATTCCCACCAGCAGTGCAGGAGTGTTCCTTTTTCTCCACATCCTCGCCAACTTTTGTTGTTGCTAGTTGTTTGAAGATATGCCATTCTCACTGGGGTGAGGTGGTATCTCATTGTGGTTTTGATTTGCATCTCCCTTATTACAAGTGATGTTGAACATTTTTTCATATGCTTGTTGGCCAACTGCATTTCTTCTTTGGAGAAGTATCTTTTTAGCTCTTCTGCCCATTTTTTGATGGGGTTGTTTATTTTTGTTGAGTTTTATCAGTTCTCCATATATATTTGTGATCAGTCCTTTATCACTACTTTTGTGTGAGAAAATGTTTTCCCAATTAGTGGGCTGTCTGTCTGGTTTTTGTAATGTCTCTTTTGCTGTACAGAAGTTCTTTAACTTGATGTAGTCCCATCTATTTATTCTTGCCTTCACTATTGTGGCGTTGGGTGCTCTGTCTTTAAAGATGTTGCTGAAGTGTATGTCATGTAGTGTTTGACCCATCTTTGGAAAGCAAAGAAAAAATGGAACATTTTCATGAAAACTAATGAGACACTTGGTCTTCAATAGCAGAAGCTAAGTAAGATAGGGAAGAGTCAAGAGTCTCCTATCTGGAGAAACTCTTAGGATCATTAAGCATGGTGTTACACAGAGTTGGCCTGTCTTGCTTTCCAAAAATGTGTCATTTTTTCTTTGAAAAAAGCAAGTTCAAAAAAAAATTGTCAGAGCTGAGGTTTCCAAAAGGGAAGGAAAGACTGAGGGGTGGGAACAAAGGGTAGAGGGTAGTCAATGGAGGGTTATTAGTATTTTGAGGGTGGGTGTGGTATAGTATAATTTTGAAGCCACATGAGCCTGTATTCTTAAAACATACAAAACTACAATGTTTAAATCAATGCTGCCTGCATTTAAAAAAAAATACCAAAAAATGAGGTAGAATGAAAAATGTGTGGCCAAGTTCATGATTGGTTACATGCTGATAGCCTTCTCACTGGGCTCTGGTTGCATGTGAGAAAGGATGTGTGGTCTCTGGCAGCAGTTGTTGAGCATAATCATCAGCTATCCTGCTGAGTTCTTTGCCATGGACCTAGCTGTCTATTAAAAGAGCAATTTAGGGCCCTCCCTGGTGGTGCAGCAGGTTAAAGCACAGCACTAAGAAGTTTAAGCCACTTCCACATGAGTTCGATTCCCGCCTGCCCCGGAGGAGATCCACATGGCGAGGCAGACCTCTCCTGACCCGCCTGCTGCTCCCCTCAGCAGTGTACTTCGTCGATCTGCCTGTTCTGCTCCCCTCCCTGTCTCTGGTGAATCCTCTCACCCTCCACATCTCTGGTCTGTACCCCAGCTCTATATGAATAAATAAATGAATCTTTAAAAAAAAAAAGCAATTTAAAGACAACACTGTTTGAGGCCTAGATCTCTTTTTTCTTCCCCATAAAGCCCAGGTTTGTTAGAATGTTTGTGTTTAAAAGAGAAGAAAATCTAGGAAAAGTCACTATTTTTGAAGAGAAGCTCACCTCATTCTTCTGCAACTGTGGACTATAACAACATTGACATGATGCAGAGAATGGTGTGAAGATTTCAAATCCTAGCCTCTGCATAGCATTCCAGTTGAGTGGTTATTGATCATTTGCCTCCATTTTTCTGGTTAGGTCTGTCTGCAGGTCGGATTTCCCAAGTCATTGTTGGAGACAAGCAGCGTCAGTACCTCTTAGTGATTGGGCGGGATGTAGATGACGTCCAGTTAGCTCAACGTTTGGCTCAGGCAAATGAGATTGTCTTGTCCTGGAATTGCTGGAAGCTCTGTGAGCAGTACATGTTTGAAGTGGAAATCATGAGGGAAGATGAAGCTGTGAAGGTAGGAAACTGTTCCCATCATTGCATGTCCTGAAAAGGCCTTCCTACTACACAGAGAATCCTCTGGTGCTGTTCACATATTGCCTGACATATTGCCAACTCCATTTTGGAGGGAGGTGGGGAATATTCTCCTAGGAAGATAGCCAAAGCATCACAGTAAGACTGGAAAGAAAAGCTAAACAAAGGAGATGGCATCCTCAGCCCCTCTGTTAAGGAGCCAAAGGTACCCCAGTATGTGGGTGGGCACAGAAATTGAGCGTTTTCCTTTCTATAGTTGAGAGATATGCGGATCATTGGCCCATTTGATTTTGATGAGCATTTTGACAAGTGTCTTGATTATCTGCCACACTACCGGACAAGTGCTGGTAAGTTACTTTGTTCTTTCTAGCTAAGCACAAAATTTTTAAGATTAATTTTTCACCTGGTTGGAGACATTTTGTTTTTCTTTTCTCAGATACCCTAAGAACTGCTCTGGAGTTGGATCCAGACTCTGCACTTGAGCAAACCCTGCGGAAACACATAATGAAAAGCCTTTTGAAGAAGGTTGTTTACTCGTTTTTGAGTCATCATGTATACTCTGTGTGTGTGTGTGTGTGTGTGTGTGTGTAAACAGGTGTACATTTATATGTAACAATTTTTGTATTGATTCAGCTCATTTTCTGTTCCATTGTAAAACCAGCAGATTTCCATCTCTGTACCAATTCCTATGATGACATCATATCTTTTAATCTTATAAGTCTTATAACTTCATAATCCTGGAAATAGAAGCCATATTTACTTTTTTTCCCCTAAAGAAGCTACTAAACTGTAAATAAGGGATAATGTACATGTTTGGTAAACATGTGTTAAATGATTGTGTATATATGAACCCATGTGAATCTCTTAGTTAAGTGATATAGTGACTAGTAGAAATGGACAAATCATACTTAACTGTTAGAAAGTACATATAAAAGCCAAGAAAAGTTCATCAGGTAGTAATTCAAGTTTAAAGTAAAACAGTTTTAATTCCATGTACCCTGGATCGTATATAGTCTATACCTCTCACCCTGAATTTTAAGTTTTTGTCTGACATGTTACTTTCTCAAGTTCGCCACAGAATATGTAATTAATATACTTAAATATGATACTGAGAGCAGAGGGCAAGTTAACTCTCTGTGTCTTTGTAGATTGATGAAGGCCAACCTATGGAGTATATATCTGAATTTCGTACCGTGACTATGGTTCTGGTCAACCTAGAGTTTCACAAGACAGCGTGGGTGCTGCATTTGTGTCATCTTATTCAGGAGGCCGCTTTGTACATCTCCACAGCCATAGAGAAAGGGGGTGGCCAACTAAGCCGAATCTTTATGTTTGAGAAAGTAAGTGCAAAGGAACTTGACCTATCAATATTACATGTAACTAAATAACAATCTGGCATGACCTGTTTATCTTCCAAATAACACAAGGTTAAGTGCTATCCTGCTACATATTTTATAGCAAGCAATATAACATGAAAGTTCAACTAATAATAGCTAAGGAATGGGATGTTCTAGTTAATTTGCTGAATAGGTGCGGGCTACTCATTGTATCTTTCTTGATTCAATTCTTGTTAAGCATTTTTTTTTTTTGAAAGCTTAAAGAATAATTGTTTGTTCTATTGGTGAAGTAAATGTAATCTGGTCTTTCTCACATAAAAAGGTCACATAAACAGAGTAGTAGTGTGTGTAATATTTGACATAGGTGAAGAACATGTGGGATGAGACTGAGTTCACAGAATACACTAAAAGTTAAACTTTTGACACCAGTTTTTCTTATGTTTAAAATCATAGTTCTTTGAATAAATCATTTGTTAAATCAAGATTTTATTTTTTCTTTTTTAAAATCTCCATGTTGAAATCACCCAGTCTGTCTGTCTCATGAATTGTGTAAAATCCTGCAAACAGGAAACAAATCAGGAAAGTGTCTGGCTTCATCCAGAGGTATTGGTTCAGTGCAAGCATTCCATATTCTGACCCCAGGTAAAACTTTTATTTTTTATCTTTCCCAGGGCTGCATGTTCCTCTGTGTCTTCGGTCTTCCTGGGGATAAGAAGCCTGATGAGTGTGCACATGCCCTGGAGAGTTCCTTCAGCATCTTCAGTTTCTGCTGGGAGAATTTTGCTGAGACCAAGTGAGGAGGAAGGTGGGGCAGAGAGGAGTTTTTCAGGTCCCAGGGTTCTCCTCAGGCAGGGTAGGAGGTGGTCACAGGTAGCAGGGATTGATGGCTTCTAGAGCATGCTAAGAGAAATCAGAAAATAAGATCTAAAAGAAACCATGAGGTACAGAGCAAGTTCCTGTGGGAAAATTAAATTTCCATACAGTAGGGTAAAACAGTGAAAGGAGCAATAAAGATAGCAGGACTCAAAAACATGGCAAAGGAATAAGCAAATGTTTAAATTAATATTCTACAATTAGTGTCTCTGTGTATGGAGGGGACGCAGAACAAAAGTTGCTTGTATATGGGGAGGGGAGGCTTGGGACGAAAAGTTAGCTAGAGAGGAAGTGGAACATTCTTTTTCTACTTTATCAAGCCTATTGATTTTTCTGGAATTCATAATGAAATATCCTCCATTTCCCTGTTCCCACCTTCCCACGTTCTATAAAAATCTAACCCTAATAAAAATACAGAAAAATTTATTTTCTTACTAGTTGCGAGATGACAAGGTTGATTGTAATTTTTCAAAGGACTTTTTTCTTTCACTAGAAAGCTACGGGGAAAGTCTGTATGTAAATGGACTTGGAAAGCTGTTATTTCTAAGGCTAATACTGAGTCATGGATTTGTTTGCTTTCTATACTTACTAAAGGCGAATAAAATCATACTACACATTTACCTAGTGTTTTAGCATTTGTAGACTACTTTAATGCTGCAAGTGTGAACATTTTTATTCTTCTTCTACATATGAGGAAACTAGAACCACAGAAGAGAAGTTACTAGCATATGACAGAAGTGGCAATAAGATCCACATTTTCTGTCCTCAAACCTATGTTGTTTATGACACACAGCTGCCTCTTGTTAAATACAAATATTTCCCAACTGGGATGACATACATTGTTAATATGATATAGTAGAGGCGTACTAATCAAATATTAGCACTAAAAAGGAATTTTGAGATTATCTGATCCAACTCCTTATTTTGCAGGTAAGAAATTACTTAGCCCCTTAGCTGAAGGCAGATGTGTTTTGGAACTTCTCTCAGGCGTGGCAGGGTCTTGCAGATCCTCTACAGCTCCTTCCCAGCCTTATATCTGTAGTGTGTGTGTGCTGAGCCATCCTTCCAGTGCTGGTCTGTTCTGCTCTTGAGGTTTTGCATTTACCTGTGGTCATCAAAGATCCTGCCAGTGGGCCTTACTACTGAATGAGAGAGTCATTTCTTTGGCCCAGAGGCTAACTTACAAGTATCATTAAGGATGCCCTCATGACCCTTTGGCCATCATTTGGCCCTTTCAATCTTATTTAATTTAGAACAGAGCAGGTATTAAGAGCTGATGGGCTATTAGGGTTCATCTAATCTGACCTTAACTTAAGAAAATCAAGAGCCAGAGGTTATGTTGGTAAAACAAATAGCTAGTTTCAAATTGGTATTTTTCTGTCCTTAAAGGTAATTACAATTCAGTAATTTATCACAGTGTGTTTTGTAGAATATTAGTTTTTTAATAGTTCATGAAAAAAGATCTTCATGACTAAATATGTTTGAGAAGTAATGCAAACTATGTTTCCTTCTTGGAGGCTCATATATTAACATGAAAGATTCTGCATAGCTTTACAGTAATTTTTTATATTTTCTTTTACTTAACATTTTCCAAATTTTTTTGCCCACATAACATTTTTCTCCAGAAAGATCCCTAAACATCCAGAAGAATGAATGTTCTAGGGGAGATATTTTTGGAAATTCTGTACTAGCCAGTTGCTGAAGCTTATCTTCACCCATAATTAAAGCATAGAGACCTAAACCCAGAGGTGCCTCTGTGGCTAAAGTAACAGATACTCTTGGTCATGTCTCTCTGCATCGAGTCAGCCTCACCTAAGCCCCAAACCATGCCATGTCTCTCTTTTTTCAATACTCTGTTTTCCTTGGGCCCTCTTGCAAGTTTCTCTTTTAAACTAAGCAGTGCTTTCAGTTTTCAAGTCACAGAAGAAGATTCCCTGAGTCCATTGATTGATCAGGCTTTTTTTGACCTGTTACTATTTCTTTAGGATATTTTTGAGACCTAAGGAGTACAGTCTCAGAATCTCATCACTACACTTAAGATCACTAGAAATACTGTATTATATATTAAAAATGTTTTTAAAGGAAGGAACATGGACTGTAAGGAAGAATAAGGGGGAATAATAAAGTCCAATAAAGAAACAAGAAATATGGCCCTCCCTGGTGGCACAGCGGGTTAAAGCACTGCACTAAGAAGCTTAAGCCACTTCCACCTGAGTTCGATCCCCGCCTGCCCCGGAGGAGATCCACATGGCATGGCAGACCTCTCCTGTCCCACCCGCTGCTCCACTCAGCAGTGTACTTCATCGATCTTCCTATTCTGCTCCCCACTCTGTCCCTGGTGAATTCTCTCACCCTCCGCATCTCTGGCCTTTATCCCAGTTCTGTATGAATAAATAAATCTTTAAAAAAAAAAAAAAAAAGAAAGAAACAAGAAATAGCCAAGTGATAAAATTATTATTTGTTCTTTATCATTGTTATTAATAACTGATTTTCTCACATGCATAAGTATAGTCACTCAACAAGCATTCATTGAACCACAAGCCAGAAGCCATGCTAGGTGTGACCAGCATAAAGAAAAATAAGATGTTAAATAAACAATTAGCTGTAACACAGTGAAATTTAAGTGCAAGAATAAAAGGCTGTAAATAGTGCAAACATAACAGAACAAGCAGAAAATGTCATGTGACAGATAGTAGAATACATGGTGGACAAAGAGGATACAATGAGGCATAAATAGTTTCAAGTTAAATCTAAAAATTTCCATTTGTTCTTAATATAAAAGTAGCAACAATCCTAGTGTTATTGTCTGCTAAGCCATCAAAATTCTCTTGCTTTCCCCTAAGGGTAGATGAGGCTCTTACCATGTTCTGGCTAACCTACTGGCCCACGAAATAAAGAAAAAACACCCAAGACAAGAACCAGGCAGTTGTTAACACTGTCTGAGATTAAGACTGAAGATCTGATAACTGATAATGTTTTCTAAAATGCCTTTCCCACTTTCTCTACCTGCTAAACTCCTTCCTTAATTTGGTTAAAAGTTATCCCTTAGACTCAAGTATAAGAAAATTAACTATTTCTCATGAAAGCTATTACAGCCTTTTATTCCTACACTTATATTTCATTGTGTTACAGTTAGTTGTTTATTTGACTGTGGGGTGGGGGTAGCATCGTATTTTTCTTTATGCCTGTCACAGCTAGCATAGTGTCTGGCTTGTGGTTCAATGTATGCTTGTTTAGTGACTATACTTACACATGTGAAAAAATCAGTTAACAAGACTGTGATAAAGAAAAGTAATACTTTTCTCATGTGGTTATTTCTTACTTTTTTTTTTTTAAGATTTATTTGTGCACATAGAACTGGGGTACAGGCCAGAGGTACAGGGGCAGTGAGAGGATTCACCAGTGACAGAGGAGCAGAACAGGCCGACTGAGGGGAGCAGCAGGCCGGTCAGGAGAGGTCTACCACACCATGTGGATCACCTCTGGGGCAGGCGGGGATTGACCTCGTGCAAAAATGGCTTTAGCTTCTTAGTGCTGTGCTTTAACCCGCTATGCCACCAGGGAGGTCCTATTTCTTATTTCTTTATTAGACTTTATTATTCTCCCTTGCTCTTCCATTCAGTCCATGTGCCCTTTTCTTTGTTAATTTGCTCTTCTGATTTCTAATGTGTAATATTATCTCACTAACTTATGAATATGTCTCTTCACCTCCCTCATCCCTACAACCCACCTCCCCAGATTGAGCTTCTCCAGGTCAGAATATGTTAAACATCTAGTCCAGTACTTAGTACTTTCCATAATTCTCAGTGTTTGTCAAATGAGTGAATGAATGTATGCTTGTATGAATGAAGACAATAGTATTATTCACTGAAAAAATGTATTCCTAAGACAGTTGCTTCAGGAAGGCTTCCATCAGCTGCCTGACATTTTGGTTATTCCTTTATTCTGTTTGATCCATTAATCCTGTGCTGACATCTATATATCTACTTTTCACCTGGGGATTTTAGCTGATGCAGCATGTTATAGTGGAAATGGCACCTAGGAGTCAAAGCCTGTCTCTACTACTAAATTTTGCTGTGTAGCTCTGGGAATGTTAATTAACTTCTTTGGTTATTTTTCTTTTGTCATATGGGGTTAAAATTCTTGCCCTACACACTTTATATGTTTGTTATCAATTATTCCTCAAAGGATCAGGGTAGGTAATTATCTTGAGAATATTTCAAAAAGCATATGTAAGTTTCTGTCAAATATAAGATATTTTTAATCTTTTTACTAAAAATAACTTCTCAACTGAGAATCCTGATAGAAGAGAAGCATTTTTTTTCTAATATTTAGTAACTTGTACATGTCATATGGTATATGATATTGACTGACAATAGCCTATATAGCCTTTTCTATTCTGAGTCCTAAACCTAGACTTCTGGATCTAGCAAGTAGGAAATATGGTTCCTGATTTGGAGGCTTCTAACTATTTGCCCACTGTTTTCTCTTCCCCAGGCTTGTTTCCATCAGTATCACCAATGGACCAGTATTCTGTGGTGTGGTTGGGGCAGTAGCAAGACATGAATATACAGGTATAAAAGGACATTGGACTGTTAGTTCTGTAAGTTAGGGGGTGTGGGTGTAGGGGGAGTGGTCTAAACATTCTGCATCCTTTTCTTTACTGTTTCCCTGTCACAGTTATTGGCCCAAAAGTGAGCCTTGTGGCCAGAATGATAACTGCTTATCCAGGCTTGGTGTCCTGTGATGAAGTAACATATCTCAGATCCATGTTGCCTGCTTACAACTTCAAGAAACTCCCAGAGAAAATGATGAAGAACATCTCTAACCCAGGGAGGATGTATGAGTACCTTGGCCATAGACGATGTATGTGAGTGTCACCGTGGACTTCATTCCCATCTCTTTTACAGAATTAGGGCA